AAGAACCTTTGACTTTTCATAATTCTGTTATAATTTAATTATAAGCCATACATCTCATATATCTATAATGACTGAAGTCTTAATTGTGAGCCAATCTCGAGAAAAAGAAATGCTTCGTATATATTTCGGATTGGTAGCGTGTTGGGGTGGATTGGAAGAAAGAGGAGATCCTTGAGATCCTTGAGGAGAGAACCTGGCCGAGTCTAGGGGTAGATCGGCGCCTCGAAGATGACGAGAATTGGGGGAACGTGCAGATTCCGAGCGCCGGCCGTGATCGTCCGCTTCGCTGGTGATTTAAACGAGACCGACGTCGGGCCGGGCTACCGTCAGAGCCCCCGCCGAGGAACGTCGCCGCGAATTCCGCGCGCGGGTGAAACCACGCGGGCCCGAAGGGTTTCGGCGGTCATGCCCCGAGCGGAGGAGGGCCCGGCCCGGCGGAGGTCTCCGCGCCCGCTTAGCCAGGCGCCCCGTTAGCGAGGGTTGGGGCCGCTTAATCACCGGGACTCTCTTTCCCTCTCTCTCTCTCTCTCTCTCTCTCTCCCTCTTTCTCTCGCGCGGGCTGGGCCGCGTTGTTGAAATTAATAAGCACCAAATAAACGAACCCGCCGAGACAAATGGCGGCGCATTGTGCACGGACGAGCGCATTCGCGGCCGGCTTATTTATTTCGCCGCGCCGCGCGGCGCAGAGCGAGAGCAAAGAGAAGAGAGAAAGCGGGAGAGAGAGAGAGAGAGAGAGAGAGAGAGAGAGAGAGGGAGAGAGAGAGATCGGGGAGGGGGGGCCCCTCGAGGCAGAACACGGCCCCGCCGTGATTAAGGAGATGAACGGATACCGCGGCCGGCTATTTTTTCGCTTCCTTTTTTTCGCGGGATGCACCTCCCGATCCGCAACGTCCGTCCATTCGCTCCGTTTCGCTCATCCGCGCGGCGCGCATATACAGGGTGTACCCCGCCGACGTAAGCCCGGATCTAAATACTTTGCGGCTGCGCGGTGATCTCACACAGTGTCTGACGACTCTCACTCTCCCTCTCCTTCACCTAATAATAATTATTATTGAACAGCAATGATTACTGAATAATCAACTAGGCATATAAGTACTACCTAATAATTAACAGCAATAAACGGTGCTTATATAAGCAGCATGGGCGATTGGAATTGATCGGTGCTACACCGTGTATCCCTCGCCGGGCATTGTGCTGCTCGACTAATTATCAGCGTATCTTCGAGTGGCAGAAACGTCGATGAAGGATGATGATGGAACGGGCTCACGAGCGAACGGGAGCGTTATCAATTTTACGCGATCTCGTTACTCGGCGGGTTACAAGCTCGATGAGAAAGCTGAGGAACGCACGACGACACCCCGTATACCCGCGGAGAAGACCGGTGGCCTCTTCCGACGTCCGCGAGATGGGTAATGGACGATACGAACAAAAAGCCGCGCACGCTATAAATCAAGTATTGAGAGAGCCGGAGAGAGCGAGCGAGCGAGCGAGCGGGAGAGAGAGAGAGAGAGAGAGAGAGAGATTGCAGTCCGTCAGAGAGGAGCGAGTACTCGCATCCGGCGATGCTGATCGCCGTTCAACATTGTTAGCGGCTCGTCGTGCGAAGAGAGCCGGTCGGTCGAGAGCTTTTTCGCACGATGATGCGACCGCTCGTTTCTTGCTTTTACCGGTGAGATGATATTTGTGAAGCCCCCCTCGTTGAAAATCGAGACGGGGGAGAATACAGCGGCGTGTGTACACCTCGCTGGCCAACTGGCTGCCGGCAAAAAATCGCGGCGAAAGAATCGCTACTTAGAGTTGCGCAATTCCCACGTTCATCCGCGACGTTCATGCGAAATGCATGCGACGAGTAAAACGACGAGTGAAATGTCGATGTAAGTACCGTATACGCGTGCGGGAAACGAGGCGCCTTGTATGTATCGATTTTTTTATCCCCTTTTTAGTGTCCCCTTTCTTACTAGGAAGAAATGCTCAAATTCGAAATTTTGAAATAATTTGAAATGATCGGAATCTCAAAGGAACAAAAAAAAAAAAAAAGAACGAAAAAAGTCCGTCGCAAGTCTTGATCGCTTCTGTTAAAAATATAATATTATACAGACGGGCCGATTTGCAAGCCGAGAGATTTATTATTTATAAATTTAATTTTATTAAATTTACAAATAAAGGGAATTTTATATTAAAAAGTGCAGGATTTTATAATCGAGAAATGTCTTGACATTCTACTTCGATTAATCATTCTTCCATTTCATACGTGCTATTTATTAATATTATAGGAGAACTGGAGCCTGCTATCAAAAAATTTGCTGTATAAAATACGATACGATGAAGAAGAATCCACACACGAGAAGAAAGTAAGTGTGCGTAATATTATCTCCCGGGTAAGGATTCCCGGTGTAAGATTGATCGTTCGGTCGAAGAGATGGAGTATTTCGAAAGATTTCGAAGTGTTCATCGGATTCTTTCCGTTTGCCTTACCGTTCTCCGTTTCTCGGTGGCGATGATCCGCGGCCGGGCAGAACGAAACAGCCAGATACCGATCGCGATCCGATCGCGAGCGCGCGTGTTCAGTCGGCTACAAATATCCAGCGACGTCAATTTTAATCACATCATTAATGAACTTAATGCGATCGCGTTGTGGCTCCGGCGCAGAAAGGACTACCGCGGATCGGCGGCCGGTGTCTCTCCCGGGAGAGACGCGCCGCGGTCTCTTGGTCGGATCGGTTTTTTGCTCTCACCCAGCGAACACGTAGCGTCCGGTATGCGCGCGATGTTACACATCGGAATCCCTCAACGACGGCAATTCAGCCCCCTCGTCGCCCCGTCGTCGCCGCGAAAAGACCGCTCGTAAATCGCGCGAATGGTTACCGTCCGAGACGCGCGTGTTAATCCGAGATCGGATTTCGACAAACTCGATACCTCGGCAGGATGAAACGGAGGTTCGTTAACCATTTTCCTGTGTAACTGATTTTCGCTTCAAACGTAACATGAATTCCCTTGAGCGCTTTTTTCATTCCGTAAATGTAAAATAAAATAAAATAATAAACGCAATATTAAGCGTAAAACTAAATGCGATTATTAAACATAAGATACAGTGAAACTTTTTAATAAGAAATCATTTTTCACCTCGAGCAAATGATCATAAGGCTTCTTGACACGAGAAAGAAAACAAAAATATTCATGAAAAAAATTATTCAGGTTTAATCATAATAAATTGTAGTTATTTCGCTGACATAAAGAGGTGGTGTGTCATATACTAGTGAGATGCATCCATGTCTCACACTTCGACCACGCACACACATGCAAAGATATACCATAGGTTATACAGACAACGAAAGGACTAAGAAAAGTCGCATTTCATTAAAGCGGTAAAGCATGCGTTTTCGCAAAATTAATCCCACTTAATCGTTCCAGACAGCAAGGGAAAATTCAAGTCACGCTCGAGGCATGTCGCGTCTCGTTAATGGACAAGTTTCTCTTCTGTACCTTCGTTTGTACGAAAAAAGAAATATCGCCGTGTGCGACTATGTGCCGCTAACCGACGGGATAAGTTAGAGAGTGAGCAGCGAGAGGAGAGCCGGCGGCGTTCCTAATCGCCGCGCATGGATTAGCCGCTGATTAATTACTCGGCCTTTACGTCACGCCGGCGACGGGATCGTTTGCTCGTTACGAAAGCGCGAGAACTCGATCGCCGGATCGAGGGAGGCCGCGTGTAAGTGTCGTTTGCCGTCACCGATAAATGACGATTTACGTGACGCGCTGTGGGAGGTCCCTAATTATGCTAAACAGCCTTGTCACATATGACGAATCCAGGATCCCTGGAATACCTTTCTGTCGCGTTGACGAGCGACAAGCAGTAAAGCCGCCGCGACTAAATGAAGCAAATGAAAGAATGCTTATTCTGTATTCGGAAAGCAATAACGTATTTGGATTTTTAATTTCTTCCCCGTTTAAATTGCATACTCTTCAGATGTTTGTTTCCCGTGCGTAAATCTAATTCCATTTATTTAAATAGAATACGAAATTTCACGAAGAGCTACAGTTTCGAGAAAAGTACGTTTCCTCCTTGAGAAAGGAATTTTGTCTCGGTGTAGAAACACACATGTCTAAAATCTGTGAATGGAAAACTGCAGTTTCAATAATCTTCGCGAGTCGTATCGAATTTTCGATTCGCAACAGCAATATTCAAGACGTTTCGAGGCAGAATCGACGCGGCACGACCGCGTGCGGTCGCTCATCGCTGACGTATTAATATCGCACGCTCATTGAATTACTTGTGTTTGAATTTCGCTTAATAAACGAGATCGTCGATGTGCGAGCGTACCTAATGGGATCCTCGCTCCTCGTTGAGCGGAGGAGCTCTTTTATCGGCGAGCTGGATCGCGTTCCACCACGTCGGTGCAACGAGGTCGCGCATTCGCGGCACTCTCGCTGATTTTCGCAATTAGAAGCTTCTACTACGCTGGACAATAACGAGTAATTCCGCCGAGCCGGATCGGAGTTACTGATTTTAGGTGGGTGGTGGCTTAGAGAGGTTCTCATTCTCCTCGGGTCTTCGTCTCCGGAGTATCCGGAGAGAGAAGGGCACAGAGGAACGCGAATCGGAGAGAAGAAGGAAGAGGAGGATCGGAGCTCGCTGACGCGAAAATCGGCCACGCTTCGCCGGATGGAACGCGCCCGCTCCGAGCAAATGCGGAATGCGCCCTTTTTCGCGCCCTTCCTCACGATAATATTGAGAGAATAAAACAAAAGTGTAATTTTTGTTCAAAACGTTTACATGAAATGTCATTGTCAAGCTATTCCTAATAAAAACTTGAATTACTGATTAACGTGTTGTTGATAACCAGTTGCATACATGAGCGACGATCTAATTTATTTAGCGTTGCATTAAGAAACGAGCGAGACAATTGAGTCTTGGCGATCGGGAAAAATATGGGAGAAAATTACACGCCTGTCGAGATTGGACGGGCTGAAATCTGTGGACCCATGTTCTGATTGCAATTCTGACCTTCAGGCAGCCAGGCTTCGGGAAAGTGTCGTATCAATCAGATAAATATTATGTTCATGTCGCCCATCGCTGCTGTCGCCTATTCTAAGATACGCGCAACGGAAATATTCCGAACGATGTTGTGAAAAGAATTAAATTTTCATAGCAACAACAAATAATTTTACTTACAGAGGGGAACGGCGAGCGAATCGCTGCCTTCAGTCCGCTGTAAGTGCCCGAATAGACCGAAGGACGAGAAGGTCGGAAAAGAATTGAACTAAACAAATTTAGATGAAACAATAAAGTCGGCCAGAAATTGTGACAACATCTGTAATACTCACAGAAGCAAACGAGAGAAAAAGATAGAGTGAAGCCAATAAAACTATTAGTAGCAAAGTTAGCGGGCGTCGTTGTATGTTTAAATTGTGTAAGTAACATTAAATATTCACTTAGTTTCTCAGATTTTTTATCAAATCTAAAGAACGCACCAGTTGACAATATTATTCTTTACTTACAGTGAAACCAATACGAATTTCTGAAATCAAATATTTTTTCGTGAAGTAAAATTCGCTGCTTCAACTTCTTATACGAATATTCGAGCTTCGAATATACGAGTTGACTCACACATAAAAAGCAACGCACCAAATAACTCAGGATCTGGGATACATTGAAACATGAGCGACATGATACATTCGTATTGTATATGAATTCAGTAGCACAAGTTTTGGAAATTTTAGATCGTATTTGCAATTACTTGGACATTTGCAATTACTATGGAGAGCCGAAGAATGGTGCAGAATCGAAGAACAAGATACCTAAGTTTGGCATCGTCCGCCCCGAGTCCTTATTTGACATTCTTGAATCAATCGTACGGTATTTATAATGAGATACCGATACAGATTAATAGAAAACAACAGCTGCACGACGAATTGCCCAACCCGGTTTGGCACAAGATCGGTACAGTCTCGGAACTCCATATATATCCGATATTGTGTTTCAGCAAAGTAACCGCTTCAAATTGCACATTCGAGTTTGACGAGCTGTGGGTGGATTCCAGCGGATTTCAGAATAAGTGAGTGACGGTGTCGGCCACTGATATCATCATCATTTCAATTTGCAAGTGCTGCCACAGATAGTAGTAACATCGCTAAAATTTCAATTGCATCGTCAGATTTTTGTACACATGACAATCCAATAACAATCTCGGAATATTCAATGCAATCCATTTTAATAATTGTGTGAAATTAAATTCCCGCATGCACGATATATTTAGATTTCTGTTGCTTTCCCGTTGGAAATACAAACAGCAATTTGAAAATAACGTAAACTTCTTCTGTACAATAACAGCATGTTTTTCGTATATGACGGTGACATGAACTGCGTCCAGAAAAAATACAATTCGGAGTTCAACATTCTTTATAACGAATCAGCAATGCACTTCGGTAACAAGTCAATACTGAAAACTAATGATGAGAATCAGTTATTGTTGGATTTAGATGACATCGTGAAAAACAACTCTTACGTTAAGTGCCATTTGTCGTTTCGAGAGAAATTTCCAGCTGCACTATGGGGTATAGATTGCGGACAAGTAGCGGCCAAATGGATATCCAAGTACGCATTTAATAGTTTCAGTTTGATATCATATTATATGATATTATAGACAGTCTGTACGCTAAAATCAAATGATACACAGGAATCTAGAGAAAGAAGGATTAAGATTAGCACTAACTGTGCATCGGCAAATGAAGCTGCGGAAAGGATTTTGGCCACACTTGAGAGAACATTTGTTAGTTGAAAACGACGTAGCGTATGACGAAGAACATATCAAGGTATTCGACAGGTATCTCATTTATTTGCGAAAACTGCAACGTGCAAGAAAGTTGTAAAGTTGTTTTTTCAAATTCAATAAATATCGAACATGTGCGTACGTATACACGAGCGTGTGTGCGCAAAGATATAATCTTTGCGAGATGTGCCAATGATAATTTCGCGACACGATGCCGATCTCAAAATGCAAGATTTTGGCAAAATAGTTCGAGACATTTATTCTTTCCAGCTACCTTTCTCGGAATTACCGCCCTTTTCGTTGATTACGAAAAATTCATTATCCAAGTTAAAGAAGGAAGATAGATTCCCTACTTCCTTGAATCATGAACCGAATTTAATCTTAGATACAATTTATCCTGAATTTCACGAAAGTACATGGGAATGGATCAAGCTCGGCGATAGTGTAATCATCAGAAATATAAACCCATATGAACCGGATGATAGGTAATCACACGCGTGCATCCTTTGTATCCTACGCGTTTCTTTGTGTTGCAATCAATTAGTTATAAGCTTACGCATGTTTTTCTATCCTAATATTTATCACCAAGTGACGTATTTTTATGGCTCCTGTATGTATGTGATCTCTTGATATTGTGACAGATTATTTGACAATGAGTTATCGTTGGAGACGAAGATGAAAATGTTGCCCATACATTGCGAATTATATCAAATGGGTCAAGTGAGTCCGGGTGATTTCGTATGGCTCCACAAATCTTCAACCTAATGAGAGAAAAGGAAGTCTAGCTGTGTCCCTTTTACATAAACATTTCTTTTATCGTTTGTAACTCCGAAGACATGATATTATAACAAAAAGAAACTTATGTAGAAATGTAGAAAATACGTATATGAGCATCTACATTGGTAAAATGAAAACAGAAAAGAATCTATTATTAACGATCAGCTGATTTTATGAATATCGATACATTAAGATATTTTGAAAAGTTGTTTAATAAAAGTTTTTTTAATAAAAGTTGTATTAATAATAATCTGTCAGCACTACTAATATTGATTTTAAATAAAAAGTAACCAGATATGTCGCATAATCATCTGTTTCACACAATTTATTTAACGTTCTGCTCAGAAATAAGCAAAATAATGGAGTTTCGACGACAGATCAAATACAAGGGGAATTACATGCCTTCGACGATTATGTGATTTAGACTTTAGAAGTCGATATTCCGATGCAGGATTCATACAATTGTTGCTTTAAAGAATGCAAACATACAAGCTTCAGGGGAATGTCGTACTTATCAGATAAATATTATGTTCGCGTCTTACTGCTCACGTTTGTCTCATGATACTCGCAACGCAAACAATTCGAACGTTACGAAAGAAAAAAAATATAAATTTTTATATCCACAACGAGCAAACTTATAAGTGAAGCGACACGGAGATTGCTAGCTTAGTTGGATGAAGATACTCGGATAGCCTGAGCAACGCGAAAATTGGAAAAAATCGAAAAAGGAAAACACAAATAATATGTGTTAATATATGCGATACTCGCGATACGAGAAACAAAAGAAAATAGCAGAAAAAAGATTAAGGCTATCAGTGACAGTGTTGAAGGATACAGACAAAATTATTTTCTACTTATAACAAAATCGATATCGATTTCTTAAATCAGTTATTATTTTATCATGCAGTAAAATTCACAACTTCAACTTTTTATACGACTTGTGTACGAACGGAGTCGATTTTCCGCAAGGTAAAGAAATACAAAATCACTCAATGCGATCTAGGAAGTAACAAAATATTAAAGCATCAATCATGCTCCGAGGAATAAATTTCGCGACACACGTTTTAGGAATTCTAGATTGTATTATTTGCGATTATTTGTCACATGGAGAGAGCAGCAGTGAGAATCGGAAGTTCAGCATCGTCCCGTGAGAATAGCTATTTGACACTGCTGGATCAATGGTACAATTCGAAATTAAAATCAGTCTCTCAAGAACCACATATTGATAAAATACAACGATTGAACAAAGAATTACCCAGAGTGACTTGGGTCAATGTGGGTAGAATCTCCTCTATCATAACGCAGCCGATATTGTGGTTCAGTGAAGAAGTAGTTTCCGAAACCATGTGCGATTTTTTCGGCTTCTATAAAAATTATGATAAACTACATAAACTTCAAAACAAGTAAGCGACGGTGTCGGAAACTGATTTCGTTATTTCAATTTGAAAATGACTCGATAGACAGTGTAACTTCGCTAAAATTTCAACGCATCACTAGATTTTTGTATACTTGACAATCCAATAACAATCTCGAAATATTCAACGCAATTGATTTTCGTAGTTGTGAGATTAAATTTATGCGTGAACGATATTTAACTGATTCTATTGATTTTCTGTTGTCAATCTATTGATTCGCATGGTCAGATGCGTACAGCAACTTGAAAATAATGTTAAAATTTTCCGTGTACCAATAGCATATTTTTCATATACGACGCCGACACCAATTATGTCCAAACCCGATACAATATGACGAGTGACATTCTTTACGTAGAAACAAAGTTCGTTAATAAAGTGATACTAAAGACTGATGACGAGAATCAGTTATTATTGAACTTGGATGAAATTGTGGAATCAAATCCATACGTCAAATGTCATTCGACGTTCCGAGAGAAATTTCAAACCTCAGTGTGGGGCATAGATTGCGGTCAAGTAGCAGCTAGATGGATATCTAAGTATGTGTTTGATAATTTCGATGGTATTATGTGATGTCTTTGATGAGATTATCTAATAGATTATAGATAGATTATATTATGGGCAATACATTAAAATTAAATGATGATATACAGGAGTCTACATAGAAGAGGAATAAGATTGGCACTTACTGTGCATAAGCAAAGGAGTTTGCGGAAAGGATTTTGGCCACGATTGAAGGATGGATTTAGGAGAAACAATGACGAAAAAAATTTTAAGGTATATTCGACAAGTATCTTATTTATCTTGAAAATTGCCACATATGTAGCAAAGTCGTAAAGTCATATACATTCGATAAATATTGAACACACACACACATACGTATAAATGCGCGTGCACGAATGTGTGTGCATAAATATAGCCTTTACGAGATGTGCTACTGAAACAGTTTCGCGACATGATGCCGATCTCAAAATACAAGATTATAACAGAGTAGTTTGAGATACTCATTTTTTCCAGTTACCTTTTTCGGAATTACCGCCCTATTCGTTGGTTACGAGCACTTCGTTGGACACTTTTATATCAAGACATATGTTTGCTACGCAATATTTCTATCATGAACCGAATATAATTATAAAGACAGATTACCCTGCATTTCTCGAGAACAAATGGGAATGGATCAAGCTCGGTGAGAGCGCAATCATCAGGAACATAAATCCGTTTGAACCGGATAATAGGTAACCGCACGCGTACATCACTCGTATCCTATACATTCCTTTATATTCCAATCAGTTAGTGTCATATTTTATGCTAGCATTTTTATCTCTATATTTACCGCAAATCTCAGCAAAATATTCTTAGTTACGTGCCTCCAATCTATACGTGATCTTTTAATTTTGTAACAGCTTAGATGACAATCTACCGCTAGACATGAGATTAAAGATGTTGCCCATTAATTGTGAATTATATTATTCGGGTAAGATAAAGAAGAACGATATCGTGTGGGTCCATGATTTAAAGTACGAACATGTAGACTAACAACGAAAAGGATTCCTGCTGTGTTTACTTATTTCTTTTATATTGTTGTTTATGATCAATTTGTCCTTGATGGTTGGAGACATAATTATAAAAAAAAATATATATATATAAAGAATATGTGTTATATGCATAGATATTTTAAACTTTCAATGTGTAAATAAATATTTATTTCTCTGTGTACCGTGTTTAACTTGAATGTTTCCAAAAAAAAAAAAAAAAAAAAAATGGTATATGCGTCTGCATATAAAAATGCAATATAAAACGAAAAAAAGAAAAAGAAAGAAATTATCGTTAAAATTAAAAGATTTTATTGAGGAATCAGCGAATTTTTCGTCTCCTCGTAAGATAGAAACAACAAGCTTCAAAGAAACATCATTCGCGATTTACGATCTTGCGTCCGTCTCACGACATACGCAGCACAAACGTTTCAACGACGTTATGAAAAAATATGAATCTTCATAATAACAACAAATAATCATACTCGTCGACAAACTGACAAATGACGGGTTGTTAGCTTCAGTTTGATACGAGTAGATGGTTAGTTGAGAAACACGCAAGATCGGAGAAGATTTGCACTTGACATATTGTGCCAACGTAATTGTAAAAGTAATAATACGTAGTAGTAGTATTTATATTCCATAATAAAACGGCTGATGCAACTGCTGATATGTTGCCGTCGTGTTCCGTTAAACGAATTACGCGATACGTATTTTCGGAATTTTAGATTGTGCCGTTCGCAATTACCTGTCACATGGAGAAAAGTGAACAAAAACGCAAAAATGCAATATTGTCCCGTCTGAATTTATCATTGTTGGACAAATTGCTTCATCCGTACGTATCATCTCCCAACAAGCTACATGTAGTACTGTCCCAACAAGAATTACCTGTTAAAAGGCAACAACAACTCTGTGACGAATTACCGAAACCATGTTGGGTCAAAGTCGGACGGGTCTGGTCTATCATTGCGCAACCGGTAATGTGGTTCAGTGAAAAAACGTTGGCAAAGACCGTATTCGGATTTTTCGGACCATATACGGACGACTACAAATGCAAACCTCACAATAAGTAAGTGACGATGTCCAAGATTAATTTCATTATTTCAGTGTGCAATTTATTTTCTGGGGAACGAACGCTAACATACCAATCAAATTTCAATGCTCCATCGAATTTCTGTATATGTTAGATGATTCAAACATAAATTCATTATTAATCTACGAACATTCGATATCACCTATATTTATATAATATTTTCGTAATTGCGAGATTAAATTTAGATTTTTCTGTCAAAATCAGTTGATGTTGGTACGACAAATTGAAAATAACGTCAAATTTTTTTCTGCATACAAACAGCATAATTTTCGTGTATGATGATGACACCAAGTGTGTCGTAACCAAATGTAATTCGGAGTTGAATATATTTTACAAGGAAACAAACGTCGAAAACAAGGTAATATTACAGACTGCTTTAAATCAGTTACTGTTGGATGTAGATGACATAATGAGATCAAATCCGTACATTAAATGCTATTCATCGTTCTCCGAAAAATTTCGGGTTTCAATATCGGGTATTGATTGCGGTCCGGAAGCTGCTAAATGGATATCCAGGTACGTACACCTCACAACTTAGTATTATTGCAAAGTATCTATAAGCAACGTTGTACGCTCAAATATAACGATGCATAGGGCTCTAGGCAAGGAAAATATAAGATTAGCATTTACTGTGTATCATCCAAACCTGTTGCGGAGAAAATTCTGGGAAAGTATCAAAAACAAATTTATAAATACCGGTTCATGCGACGAAAGAGATATTACGGTATTTAATAAGCATCTTAATTATTTCGGAACTGCAATATATACATATATAAATACATATGTAAAGTATATATAATCGCAACATATAAGTCGCAAAATTGCCTCAGCAGAATATATATATATAGTAAAAGACATTCATTTACGCTTATGTATATACATATATATATATATATATTTAGCAAAAATATCAACTTATATAAACTCAATAAATGCAAGTGTGTATGCGTAAGTAAATATGTCTTTTACGAAATATTTTGCTGAGGCAATTTTATGACATGATTCTAATCTCTAATTTCTAATCTCTCATAAATACCGAAGATTTTGGTTGAATAATTTGAAATGTTCATTGTGTTCAGCTACCTTTTTCGGACCTACCACCTTATTCGTTGATTTCGATAAATTGTTTGAACACATTACAATCACAATGTGCAAAAGATAAATTTTCGATGAATTCCATGATACATAATCCGAACATTGTCATAAAAACAACTGATTATTCATTTCACGAAAACGAATACGAATGGATCAAGATTGGCAAGGACGTAATCATGAGAAACATAAATCCGTTTCCGTTTAATAAAGACGATAGGTAATTACACGCACGCCTCAGTTGTATTCTGAACAGTCCTTTATATTCCAATTAATACCAGTTTATAAACGTTTTTAATTCTTATATTTACTTTTGTCCTTAAATTAAGCAGCTTAATTTAATTTTATCCTCAATAGAGCAAAATATTTAATTAAGCAGAATATTTTTAGTTATGTAGTTTTATCGTCTATATTGTTTTCTTCATTTTAGTAGTACTTTTTATATCAGAGATATGCCATTGGATATGAAAGCGAAGTTGCTGCCTATACATTGTGAATTGTACCAATCGGGTCCTGTGAACATAGACGATGACGTGTGTGTTCATGTTGCAAATGTCGTAGAGATAGAGTAATAGCGAGAACAATTCTAGCTTCTGAGAAAGTTTCTTTTACAAGAGATTGTCTTTAACTGCCGATAATATAAAAAATGTGACGTAACAACGGAAAAGGGTCATATAGATATATATAATATATAAAAAAATATATAAAGAATATACGTGCCACATATATATGTATAAATGTACTGGTGAAGAAAAGAGAAGAAAAAAGACTCATCAAAGCCGAAAGATTACGCTAATATTTGACATTTGATTATTTTTAATAAACATTAAGATGTTTATTAATACTGACTTGCAGTCAATAATCAGTAGCATACATGAGAGACAGTCTTGCTCAATTTATTTAACGTTGTACTCGAAGTAGAAACGAGCAAAATAATTGAAACTCGGTGACAAGTAACAAATGGTTGACAAAAAATAAATGGTTAAAAGTTGCACTCTTATATGATTGTACGAGTATGTGTATCCTTATAATAAGTTTCTCTTACGTAGGTCCAGATTTCTGAGTAATAGAGAAAAGGACACCAATTGATTTTTATTGACTTCTCTCACACAAAATTGTTCCCCATTCTTAATAATTTGAAGTATAATGACATAAATAAATATCAGTTGAAAGTATACGTACATGCGTCATATGCGTCTTCGTTTATAATATAAAAAATGTTTGGAAATTCCGTATGAAATTTTACGTCTTGAAATTGTCGTTAATAAAGTTGTAAAATTAGTAAAATAATTATCGATAACGTATTTCGACTGAATGATGATTAGCTATAATTAATAATAATAACATTGTGCACAAATGATTGTTTTGTCTAATTTATTAACCATTGCATTCGAAAAAAGTAATCGAATATCAGCAAACGGAAAAATACAGGTTTCATTTCCTCGTGAAATACAAACGGTAGGCCTCAAGGAGACAATGCGCATAAAGCAAATATACTGTCAACGTTCGTGTCTGTTTTACGACATTTACAACACAAACAGTTCGCACGATGTTATGAAGAAAAAAGCATAAATATTCATAGCGACAATAGACGATCAAACTTATCGACGAACTGCTAATACGCAAGCTGCTGGCTTCGACGCGAATAATACACTCGAGTGAAGTCGCGGTGAAGAACCGCGCATAGAAGGCCGAGAAAGATTAACGTTAGACTGATTTTGCTAGCTAAATAATAAGAGAACGTTGTGTAATAATACGGCTGATATTACGAGGAAAACAACCGGAAGAGACGAGCAAAGCGAACAAAATTGCTAACGACTGTGTTATCAAGCACAATCTCCAATCCGTGTGAGTAATATATTTCTCGTTTATAACTTCGTCAAGTTTTCGTTATAGAAACGGAGAAGCGCTCGTTGGAACATCTGATAACAATTATTCGAGACAAAACTGATCTAATTTACTGATTAGATTGACAAGGACTAATCGGAGACGAAACGAAGTGATTTTTTCTCCAGTGCGAAGTTGCGAAAAGTAAACACATCTCCAAGCGCTTCCAAGTTAGGAAAAATTTTCGCTCTTCATGAATTTACGCTGGAGAAAAAGAGTCGCGAACGCGATCTCCTGTTTCAATTTCTCAAATTGAACTAATTCTTTTACCGTACCCGACGACTTTTCCTAAACTTGTCAACAAATGTCTTCGAAATTGCAGATCGTATTGTTCCGTGATTACTCGTGTCATGAAGCATATGGACACCATGCTTACAAAATGCGGCGTATTTCCGCCATCGCTTGCCAACCAAAGAAAAGATCAGATGGAGCGCGAAATGGGTGTACCGTTTTGGTCCAACGTCGGTCAGGTTGCATACCTTGCTATGGATCCCATTATGTCCATCCAAAATTCACAGATTACATATAGTAACTTCGGATTTTTCGGACCGGAAAATATTGAGGAAGACAATATCATACTGCAGCGTCAACATAAGTCAGTGCAATGCTCGAAACATTTGACTTCTTATTTACCTCATTGTTGATTGAGTCAAGTTCAAAGTTCGTTCCCCGAAATGAGAGATAACGTCGCGCTTTGTGTCGCTTAATGTGACTTCCAAATCTAACGATTCCATAAAAATTACCGAAATTAATTATGTAAATGGATCTTCGCGCTACGCGTTTCGCAGATGCTGAAAGTAATTAACGATCAATATGTTGCTTTCTATATCCCCAGCTTATTGTTCGTGTACAATACGGAGACTATGTGCGTACAAACAAACTTGAATTTATCGATAAAGGTACAGAAATGGGACACAACTTCGATATTGTTGCAAAGTCCTGCGATGTCTATAATCTTAAATTTGAGAGAAACACAAATGAATCCTGAAATCGAATGTTGTACATCATTCTACAACAAATTTATAGTTAAAGTGAAGGGTCAAGATTGCGGCGATAAAGCGGTCTGGTGGTTGTACAAGTATAGATTTAATCATTTTTCCGACTTTCTGCGACTTTTCATATCATTATCGATCGATAACGGTCGACCGCTGAAATGAACGAATTTACAGGCTGTGCAATAAACCCAGCTTAAGATTGGCACTGACTGCTCATACGTCCACATTGGCGCGAGAAACCTTCTGGAACAGCGTGAGGAAAGCGTACGAAGAGCAAAAGAATGACAAGCTCATCATGGTAATTAACAACGTATTCTTTCCGCGATTGTGATGCGGAGCACAGACGCAAACTTAAACGAATATTCCCGTGCGATATTATTTTTTTATGAAAAATGCTCGCGGCACGTCGCGACGTTACATCGCTGAAATCGGGAGCCGTGAGGTTACAATTGTTAATTAAATCGATATTCATGTGCTCCTCAGTTACCATTCTCAGATGTACCGATTTACAAATTGTTTGCGCAAAAGTCGTTGACAGAGTTGCGTCATTTCACGTCATTAGATACGGATTTAATGATATGTAAACCGAACATCATAATAAAGACATGGCACTCGTATGAAGAGCACGAATGGGAATGGATCAAGATCGGCAATGCGATCGTCAGGAATATCAAGCCGTGGCAATGGTAATTATACGCGCACTGTGCCCTTTTGCGGTTCACGCAGCTTGCAAATGCTTATACGATAAAATGATGCTTCCTCACGAAGCATCTTCTTAATCTTAATGGTATATCTCTGATATGTGCGTTACTGTTCGTCTCAGCTTCAAGTCCAAAATCTGCCCGGAAAACCTGCCCGTGGAAATGAGATTGCAGCTGCTGTCAATATATTGCGAACTGTATCAGCCGGGTGCAGTGAACATAGGCGATAAAGTGTGGATCCATTTACCGCGTTCGCGCCTATGACAACGATAAGAAAACAATAGAATTCAATAAGCGCTAAATAGCCGGGAGAATTTTAGGGCGATTTAATAATTAATAATGCTGTTATATTCATTTCGGGTGTAAGTAATGCGCTATTGAAGCATTGGTACTCGCGATAAAAAACGATAAAAAATGATAGAATAGAACTGTCATATGTGACTTTGTTTTTATAAAAATAAAAGAATCAAAGGTCAACGATTATCAAAACATGAAGATAAACGGTTGTACCTTATAAGATTTATAAGGCTATAAACCTTATAAATTTTATAAACTTCTTGCTTTCTATAGCAAAGTCTTTTACATATAAAAGATGTTATAAAGAACATTTTATAAGGAAAATTTACATTTATATAAATGTTCTTTTCTATATTTCTATTATTCTCGTCGTTTATCTTATTTTTTTACCGTACATCTTTTTTATCGTCAATAACGCATTCTTTTATGAATTTTGTATTATTGTTGTGTGTATAAAAAAAACTGAGTTGTACTAGAATTCTTTGTTAATAAGTTCATAAAAGATAATGAAATTCTCGTAGATAGAAATTATGCTGAATAAAATTCCGCCAAGAAGAATTGTACTGAATAAAATTTGACAAATAAAAGTTATACATACAAATTATAATATTCATTAATATTTTACGTCGCTTGCCATATTAAAAAACTTCATTAATGTGTTGAGTGCAGAAGAAATACAAAGAGCAAAAAAAGTTATTTCATGCATAGATGCGCAACTATCCGGTTTCCAACTATTCTATTTCATAGAAATAAAATATCATTAAATAGAATATAAAAATAACACTGTTTATCAATCCCTATCTATTGTAAGTCTATTGTAAGTATCTGTGAATGAAATATATTATTTTTATGTGTATGAAGTAATTATGTTCTTTCAAAATTCTAAAACATAATCATTATTTAAATACAAATATATTTAAATATATATACACGTGCAATATCAAAGATAGCGTTATTAGAGAAATCGATAACGAAATTATTAAATATTTTCTAAGTTTGAAAAATAGACCACCACTAATCTAATTAACAAGTTTAAATTTCTCGGGAACTACGTGTGGAAAAATTTTACTCAGCATATTTCTAATCTCCTTTTCTCTTGTATCACATCAAACTGACTTTTTATCGTAAGGAAAAGTTTTGTGCCTGCGAATTTCGTCAGCGAGAGAGAGAATCTGGATATTTTCAAACTCGGTGCGCGCGCGTTCTTTGAGAAAAGTTTCGCGCACTTCCGACACTCGAGGATACGTCGTGCGCATCTAATCGTGTCGTTGTAAAGCATAAACAAGAAAAGTTGTAAATACCTATACTGATAGATATAGATAATCTAGGTAAACATACACGCTGCTCACAATGTATCGCTGGCGTCTCTTGCGTGCTATAAACGTCTCCTTCGACCGTTAGACGACGTTACGAAGAAATACAAATAGACACAATACTGACGAGCGAACTGCGTAGGTTAACACTCCCAGTTCGTCACGCGCTTTCATGTAGTCGGTCATGAGATTGAGAAGTATCCGTGAACACGATTAATTACATTGACTATAAAGATAAAGAAAACGAATAGTGTACCGAGTATACTTTACGATATTGTTAACATTACTGCCGAGGAAGAAAAGGGAAGATAAAAACAGCTCGTGGCAACATTAGAGAGAAGGTATCATATCGAAAAACGATAATAATACGTTATAACTATCTCGTAATGATAAATTTTCCAATAAAAACATATTTGCTTATTTGGACGCATTCCGCAAAATATGAATCTTGTTCTATTTAGCTGAAGTAATGTTGCGCTGGAATTTTTTCCTCCTCTTCTTTAGCTCTATTTTTTTCACTGAATTAGTGTATATTTTCAGAACTAAAAAGTAAAATAGATATATAAATGAAATTTAGTGGGAGAAAGAGGAGCAAAAAAAGATTACAGCGTAAGCTAACTCGGCGGAAAAAGAAGGACCATTTTCAATGCTGGTTCGTATCTCTATTTCTAACGACGAAAAGTACAACCTAGCTTAGCTAAAAAGAACAGACCTATGATGACGATAGACGTGTCGTGAAAAAATAAAAATTGCAAAATAAACGTGACGTTTTGGCCAGAAGGCGATTTTTGATAAGCGTGCTCAAAATTTCAGGTCTCGGCTTTCGTCGACTATCCGAAACATGTATTTGAGTTTTTTGTCATTATTTTCGACGGTTCAATGGAATTTACGTTGCAAATTGCAAACGCTAAAGGAGATTATCACAATGAGTAACGAGCAAAAGCATCTCGAAGACTCTTCTTGTGTCTCGATGTGGCAGAAAGTCGGAAAAGTCCAAAAACTGCTTATGTATCCGTTGTTGAGTAGTATCCCGGAGTACGTTACGTCATGCAATCTTCACACCGACGGAATAATTGGGTATAAGGACGGAACCGCTGTACAAAATCAGTCAGTACAACAATGTTTAACGATTCACCAGCTTAGCCCCCTGCGTTGGCATCTAAATTGACGGACCACTGTCTCTCAGAATTTAAGTATTTGCGTGACAAAAATTCTGCATCTTGCTTATACCAAAAATACGTTCGCTTTGTTGAAGAAAATCTCGAATAACATTGCTGTACTTTTACAACTGAATTACGAGCGATAAAAATACACGGGAAGTTTGCAAAAAGACTTCTATATATGTCTTCCGCCAAATTGGTAAAACAAAGTATCACACGTTTATGCAAGATTTACATATATAAGAAATACAAAAAATGTAGAATGAAGCGCTCATTTGATGTGACATTTTGATAATCGTCCTTACGTTATCGATATTTTTAGAGTGCGTCATTTACCTTGATATTCCCATAAGGGTTTCTTTATTGCAACATGATAAAACTCAAGTTGAATTGTGATCAGCAATGCACACATTCAGAGACGTTATTTCAACGCAGAGGGTTAATCTGTCATTCGATCGCTTACAGCTCAAATGAATATTAATACGTTCGCTATCAGCATATGTGACGCACGATCTCACGAGACCAGCGCCGCATATGTGTGTGTGTGTGTGTGTGACGATTTTTCTTTTTGTGTCCATATGAACAAACTGAATCTGTTTCATTCAAGTGCATAAAAGGAATACGCAAATGGTTCGCGAGGTTTTCCGAGCGAAACCATAATGACGAATATGTTAAACTATTAATTCGTACTATCAGCATGTTCGTAGTGTACGACAGAAACACCAATATAATTCAAACAGACAAGGAAGTGATGCATTTAAATATAATGGCAATCAATTTCAAAGATAAAAATAATATAATATTGAAAGGCGTAAATATAGAAGATTTAGTCCTGAATATGGTAGAAATTGTAGAGGTCGAAGACACGATTTGTACGACGTCGTTTTGCAATAAAATTTTGGTTACGGTAAAAGTCTCGGATTGCGGCTCGGTGGCAGCCAAATGGCTTAAAAGGTGTGCGCATTTAATCATTCCTGCGACATTCCGCGGTATTTCGCGCGCGTCGTGTTTATAAGAGGTGCTTTAAATAGTAATCAATTTACTTACAGGTTTACCAAAAAAATGAATTTGCGTTTGGGATACGTACAACACGATTCGTGGTCACAAAACACATTTTTGTACCACTATCACGAGTTACGGTCGAAAGTTGATGATGACAGAAACATTATGGTATTGAAATGTTTTGAATTGTTATTCATTAATAACTGACGAGCGAGTGATTCCAAATAGACTTTCACATAATCAAAGACAATCGACGATGGAGCCTTATAATCTCTTAAATTTACGTGTTGAATTATCATTAAATTTACATCGTAGAATGATGTAAATTGTTTGTCGCATTAATGCAATAACAAGATTGCTCTGCTGAGAGTTACTCTCAGATTTCCTTATTACATTTTAAATATGACATATCGTTTGAAGCAAATTCTGATCGTTTCATTTTTTTTATTTTTTCGTATTTCCATCTTATCGCTCTAAATATCCGTCGCGATAAACATATGAATATCATATGAGCCATAAGAGATACGACTAATGAGATCGTCGCTGAATTTACGTAAAGCAATCTATCTGGAATCCCGTTCGGCCTTTTCGGTCGTCCCGATTAACATAAACCACATAAATAAATTGAAATCATCGAGAACGCTAAATAAGCTTGTACATCTCGTACGACGTAATTTCGACATTGAAACGTAATGTTCTTAGACCGATGTAACTCGAGGTATTTATTTCTCGCAGATGTCTTACGAGAATATTCCGCCCCTCACGTTGCTATCGAATGAATCGTTCGAAAAGATGAAGACGAGATTAGATTTCCCGATGGCGCTGGAACAGTTCTATCCGAATATTGTCATTACATGCCCCGCTGAAAAGCCGTTCAATGAGATCAACTGGAAGCAAATCAAGATCGGCGACACGATCATCAATAACGTACAACATATATGGGACAGGTAAATCAAATAAACGCTCAACGGGGATTTAACGCGCACACGTCTACCAGGCAATCGCGCTCGTTTCAAACTGCGACCGTGACCTTATCGATTCAGCGCATTTTATTGTCTTGAGACAAACCTTGAATTTCAATCGCAACGATCATCCGCTCAAATAAATATGTCGTTCTACCTCTGACATCTATATATGATACGTGTTCTCTTTTCTGTTTCAGATCGAACTTTCATTTATTCATTAAGTCGCAGGAAATGCCCCTTAATATGAAAACAGAGAAGATGTTATTACATTGCGAACTACTGTGCTCGGGAACAGTGAAAGTGGGCGATAATGTATACATCCTCAAGTTCAACAAATACAAATAGCTTTGACAATAGTTAGAGAATTCGTTCGAGATTAGCTTTGTTTATTATTTGCGTTTAATTTTACTGATTAGTCGAATAATTAGCGTAGTGCGAGAGCGAAAATGTAGCGCGCATGAAACAAAATGTGGAAAAATATGGCGGAACATGTAGAATAAGCGTTTCTCATTCCATGTCTCTGTTCTTTAATGAAACAACAAAGATTTGGTAGAGCTTGCTGTAAGATTTATCCGCTTTTGCGTTCAACCGCGCAAAATGTGTAAAAACAAATCCATTATTGCATTAAATAATTAAGTGCGATTAATAATGTACGAAAGTAACAAAGATAAATGAGATTACCAAATAAGTTATTGAATATGTTGAATACTGAGTAAGTTACTGATAAAATATATCAAAGTTAACGATATTAGATAATTTTATTTATATGATATTAATTTGGTTATTATCGAGATTACATGTTATTATTGGATGGAAATGTTTTCATATTTTTTTTGTTTATAAGATTTTAGTAAATCTATAACATATTCTTTGTTATTTTTTATACCCTAATATATGAAATAATAATATGAAAGGTTATATGTACGTTTAAAAAAATATGTTTAAATTATTATAAAATGGATATTGTCATTTGTCAATTTTAAAATTTTGAACAGAATTGTTTAAGACACAAGTTCGCAATGAGAAAGCTATGTTTTACAAGTTTTACAAGTTTTGTTCTTTTTAATGGTTGTGATTTATATTTTTATACACTACCGCTCACAAAAGCATTACCATAGAAATATCGTTACCAGTAAATTACTCTATATAATAAGAAGGAATTAACACATTAATAATTACAAATATATCATGCGTAGACCTAATAATTATAAATATATCATGTATAGATCCAATAATTATTTAGAATTCAATAAACCAACATTATCAAAGATTTAACTTGTATGTTGTTATTTAAAAATGTCATTTGCGAAATATTTCACTTTCAAACAGCACGACTCTGATTTTAGCAAAATACTGCTCGGAGAAAATTTTAATATAAAAATTACTATAGAATCTTATAATCTACATATAGTAACACAAATCAGTAATCTCAATTTATTACCTTTTGGTATGTGCTATTTATATTTCGTAATATATTATTACAAAATTTACTATGGCCCTTAATAAGGAAAACTCTACTAGATCTCTAATAAAGTAAGTTCAAAAATTACATACCCTGTTTTAACTTATTCTAACTACAAAACATAAGTTTCACGTTTATAATTTCATTAGATATAGATAGATAGAACGGGGTGGACATTTTTCAAATTTGCTTTATGATATAAATACGATATAGTTCAGAAGAGCGATCATGAATTTTCCCTCTGATGTGAATTCATGAGAAGTAAACATTTCCAAATACGTCGAAGTTGGAAATTTTCGCTTTTCGCGAGTTCAATCTGGAGGAAAAGATTTATAACACCATATATTCGTCTCCGTGAGACCGCCGTTTTATTAGCAAATCAGAGTTGCCACAGTTGGGAAGAAGTTTCGTTTATCGGATTGATATTCAAAAGTAAATCGCGCAAATACCGCTTCTCTCTTCGTGAAATACGCACGAGCTTGGAAATAAATAGTAAATAGAATAGATCAAATAAACACACACGATTCGACCTATCGCATGCGTTCGTTTCATGAAATTCGTAACACGAACGTCTCCGGTGTTATTTCAGTGACCGGTCGCCTGGATTCGATACAGTTCTTTTAGTTCTTTGTTGAAATTCAGCTGATCAAGGAGAATGAGATCGCAGAAAATTCGAGCTTCATAAGTTAGGAAACAACATTGTAAGTAATGCAAGAAATTTTTGTTTAAATTTTTTTTATTTACATACGCCAGCCTCTGCAAATACGTTACGTTCACTTTGGTTCATTTCGGTCCACGATGTGTCTCATATGATTTAAAATAATAGATTCTAAAAATATTAACAAAAGCCTTTAAGGTTTGAACTTAAAAGACTTATCATTAAAATGTATAATATAAAACATTCATTCGTTGATAACTTTTAACGAACATTATACGACTGGAGGTAAAATCCTCTTTTGCCTCTTCGTTACGTAACGTACTCGTAGAAATTAGCCCATGGAAACAAAAAGGAATAATATGAATAATATGCTCGGAGTGATGGCAACGATTGGCTCGTAATTGAATGTAATGAAACGTATAAAATTGCATCACGAACTTTTAAAGAGGAGCCGATAAATTTCGCAATAAATAATTCTTAGAGATTCAATTCTATCATCCTCCACGCCTTCGCTACAACCGTTAGTTTCATATTACTTGTATAGATGGCGTCTCTTCCACCTTACATCATATATATATATATATATATATATATATATATATATATGCACACATACACACAGTTTAGTTCTTTTTTCTGTACGTTCGTTTTCACAGTTGGTCAGTTCGCCGGACGATCGAGTTTCTGTCACGTTGATGCTGATCCGATTCATTATATCGTATATACTCTTATTTGTGTTATTAATAAACATATATATATATATATATGTATATATATATATATATCAGTTCGTGTTCGTATTCTGCCACTGCCCGACAATAATTATTTGGAATTTCAGACCTTTTAGCAATCGTTAATTTCTGCGACCTGCCTGTGAAGAGATTCGGTATAAACATAGAATATCTAACGTTGCAATGTCGGTGTGTTTTATAAGCAATAAGCCTAGCATCAATAAAAATTCTTGGATCCTAATCGGCAAAGTCGTCAATATATGTGGATATCCAGTGTCATCGGGCCATCCTGAATATCTTGAGGAAATTGGGATTGGCCATAATGGAGTATTTATAGACAAGAATCTTTGGGATAAGTTAGTCATGATGTATAATCAATTAATTTACCTGCCTTAACTTCAACGCTCATCTACTTATTGCTCGAGTAATAAACTGATTAAGAAAAATTATGCACCCAAAAAAAATATTCTATCTGTAAAGTGATTTTTCCCAGTCTTATATTCTAAAGGAAATCTTTTGTAGGAAAAGGATTTCTCTTTCTATGAAGCAATTAAAGTGAACCATTCATCTAAAATTTATTAGATATTATTCTATTTTCTTCTTATTTTAAAAGGATTTCCTTTTATATCAATTAATTTTCCTCTTATACGAAGAGGAATATGTTGATTTGAATGTCAGCTTCTTTTGTTTAGTCATGCTCTATCTTCATACATGAATGAAAAAATAATCATATGTTCATGGGTTAGAATATCTGGAACGCTTTTTAAAAAAAGATGTGTGTTGCTGTAACATATGCTGGACATAATTTTTAGTCAAATACATGTTATAATATATTGCAAGAAGTTGTACGTGTGTGTGTGTGTGTGTGTGTGTGTGTGTGTGTAAATAATACATTCTTTCTTTTAACTACAATATGTTTCATACAATTGATTATGATGAACATCTTTGTAGCTATGAAGTTCATAACAAAATTGTTTGGAAATTTGTTTGTTATGATGTTCTTATTTCATTCGTGCCTATTTATTATAGAACTGGAGCCAAAAGTACGTCTATATATATAGGGTGATCTGAAATTCCCGCATTCGGAATACAGAACATGATACTTTATGCTAAAATAAACAACTTTTTCCTTTAGCAAAATTGCGTTCGACAAGTAGTTTTTGTAGAAGAATGTGTTAAAGTTAACGAATAAATGCTATTCTCTATGTGGCGCTCAGGGCCGCCGCGCGCGCCCTGCATCACTCACATATATATATATATATATATATTATTTTTAGCTATACATTATAATAATTTTTTCAAATTAACTAGTATAACCAGTAAGAATAAAGTACGGTAAGAATAAATAATATCCTCTTAAAAAAAGATTAAATAATCTATGTGTAAGAGGAAATTTATATTACAATCAACAAGACTTGCATTATACATATAATCCATCTAACTTTAAGAATAATGTGTTTGTAATATTTTCCTCTTAATCTTAGAAAAATCCTCTTGAGGCCATATATAAGAATAAAATCCTTTAAAATTTAGATGATTCCGCTTGTTCTGAAATTACTTTTTTTTGGGTGTGTATAATTATATAAAATCTCACATGTATAATTACGTATAATTATTTTTTATCTGGAATATCGCTCGAATTGCCGCAATCCTCTCGATACTGTTGAACGCGTAACTCTCATACACATTATTTCACAAGTGCCGGCGTGAATGTGTGTTACAAGTAACATGAGAAATTTGATTTCACTCCGTCAGCATGTTCGTTGTGTATCACGAGCAATACAAATACATCTACGATCGCACCAACGCTATATTGTCGCACATGGTAGTTAAAGTCCCTAAGAATAACACTAAAAAATTGGAGTTAGAAATATTGGATGTTAAACTGACGTTGGATATGAACGAAGTAAGGAAGAACGAGCAAGTGAAATGCACCCAGTCGCTGAACAATAGATATATAAGTAAGAAGAATTACTACGATTGCGGCGATGAAGCCGCCAACTGGTTATACAAGTGTGTATATCAAATAATGTCTAATATGCTATGATACTCCGTTTCGTCCGTAAGAAAAATCTGATATACGAACGAACTAATTCACAGTTCTCTAAAAGACGTGCATGCACGCTTAGGATTTCGCAACCCGATTGATGCCAAGGCAACGTTACAGGACACTTTCAACTGGCTATATCCATCGGTAGATTACGACGAGATAAAAATACAGGTATTTTTTTTAGCGCCTCCAATCGTAATATTCGATCAGTTGAACTGTTAAACTGAATAGTTTTAATCCTTTCAAGTCCCATATGAATATTTATCTGTATTTTCTTTTTTCAGAATCCGTCAAACCCACCGTCTTGCAGACTGATGTCGCTTGAATCGTTCAACAATGTAAAAGAAAATATGGACAGCTACATCAATATGACTGACTTTGGTCCGAATATCATTATTCAAACCAAAACTGCTTACAAGGAGGATGGAATGGAATGGTTTAAGATAGGCAAAGTGATCCTGAGAACTCTCAGACCCCCCTTAAAGTGAGCGCATATGTTACATATACATATACATATTTCTCGTGAATCTTCACCATCGAATCAATCGATCAACGTGAATCAAGAAAGACTCATAACGGCTCGCAAGGCATCGCTATTGCAGGAGAAAGTCTTAATTAAATGTCTGTAATGCGTATTGATATTTTTTTCTTTTTTCCACTATTTAGATCTGATGAAGATGCGACGTTTCACGTCCCAATGGAAATGAGATTGCAATTATTGTCGTTACATTGCGAAACGTACATGGCGGGGATAATACAACTTGGAGATAAGGTATACACTTTAAAAAATTTCAACAGAAAATAGACAATATGTTCGATACTTCAGCGGCTTGGATGATCGTCTACGGCAGTATAAATAAAATATATTTTATAAAATATTTTGTATAATTATATATATATTTTGTAAAATTTTGTAAAATGAAAATTTTTTTTTGTAAAATTTTGTAAAATGTAAAAAATAAAAATTTGTTAAGAAGTATAACACTCTTTTATCGCGTATAATCGGTCGCGGAATGGTTTGGACATATTTTTTTTTCGAAGTTAGAAACATCTCCCAAGTTATCATTTATGTTTTTCCTGAATCTTCCGTTGACAATCTGATATCTCACATTCTATCATTTCGGCTCTTATTATAGTCAGTTGTTGCGTAAGTCAATCAGTGGGGGAACGCAATTATAACAACTTGGAATTCCATTTCCATTCCCAACTTCATTAAGAAAAGAAAAAACATGTCTAGATTAGCCTACACTTAAACTCGAATTTCGAACAATTAGTAGAAAACAATTATCGATTGTATTTTTGATTGCATCATGACACTATACTCTCTTGCGAAACTATATATATATATAATATATATATATATATATAAATAACTATATATATAAATATAAGCACATTTTCCAGTAAAAAAATGTATGAACAATAGTTGCAGTCGTAAGTCACTATTTATGCGGTAATCACTTGTGACAGTGACAATAAACAGCAAATAAATTATTTATAACTATAAAGAAACTATAAATAAATGTTGGCTCTTTTTTATATTCTCATCTCATAGATAAGAATATAATAAAAAAGTGCTTATGTTCCTCTTCTGAATCGTCTGTGGAAGTTGTGCCTTCTTAGATATTTTCTATATTATTAATTCAATTATAATCATGATGATTATTACGCGGGTTTATAAATAATAGACACGCAATTGTGACCATTTCAAGCGCAAAATTTATCGATGAAGAGCTGTTGCGCAAAAGTATTATTTCGCAAACAGGCGTAGCATAGACACTGAAATGTCAATAAAGTATTGTATAGCTTATAACGGCTTATTAACTGCTAATAATAAACAATGCAACAATCTTATATCTTGTCGTTGTATCTTGTCGTTGCATTCGAGACCAAGTACCACCACTGAAACTTCATTATTGATAAAATACGGAGAGCCAACTCGAGTTGAAATGTTAGTGACTTGACTCTGCAAATCTCGTCAAGCTTGAGCAATCGATGAAGAATCTCAAGATATTACAACATTATGCTAAGGCTCACGAAGCTACGAGCACTCGTGTCAAGTGAAGACGGGCCATGAATGCAGACTTACATTACCGCTATAATAAATGATTTGACATATTTGAAAAAAATATGACGTATCTTTGCCCACACACTGAACGCACCTGCGTTCCTCGACCCGGCTTCCTCCGACACAGCATCCTGGCACCTGGCTGCACCGTTGCGGCACACAGGACTCGGTATTAGTATGTTAATTAACTCGATGCCGGATATGTCCTCAATCGCAGAATCAAGTTCCTGTTCTTCCGTAAGTTATTACAACTTCCAGAATTCCGCGACGACGAGGATTATCGGGACAGCATTCCCGAGTCGAATAAAATGCACGCTTTGACAGGCGTCCTTATTTAGAAAATTAAAAATACTAATTATTATTCGACAGTTATCTGGGTAAATTAGTGATACTGATTTATCTGATAAGTTATAAATAATAAGAATTGGTAATTTCCGAAATAACAAGTTCAATTTTCTCGAGAAACGGATGCTACGGCTGAAATAAGACGAAACGTTTTATTCTATTATACAATCTTCTAACTTTCATCGTTCATATAATTACCCATCAATGATACACGATTCTATATAGCCGACTATAAATCTTATCATTAGACTCATAAAAACATGTCCTTAAACACGATCATAAGTTCTTTAGCAAATTTAACCAGCTACCAATATATAAATGCGAAATTCCAAGTTTTTCTACTCAACTCACTCATTATTTATCAAATCTTTATTCGCCTAAGTTACTAAGTTTATCATTTACTTATTTCCTTTAATATAATTCCACATATTTGCTGATGCGATTGTAAACACATTTTCCGACATGATAATGAATTACCTAACATTAATAATATTGTTAATAAACGTAATAATAAAATGCCTTTACATACATTTCCGTTACACTTTTATTTCCCTTCTCGCCTTATTCGAGTGCACTTCTTCGATCTGAAGAATTATAAATTAGATGAATTATAAATTACTGAATTATAAATTAGAAGATGTAGACAAAGCAGCTAATATTTGTGGATATAATAATCACGCGAAATCGTCTGCAATATATACTTATAGCATGCATCAGAAAAACCACAAATAAGACTAGTTATTATCATAATGCAATTAAATGGAATTGGATTATGATCGGCAATACAATCCTGAGGAATATTAAACCGAATCCAAGGTAACCACGTATCAGTCGAATCTCGCGTATTGCTTTACTCACAAATCTATTAATATGGGACCGACTGATTATATTTTTAACAATATTCAATTATTTGCAACAATCATGAGAAAATATATATGTATATATGTATATGTCTGTGTTCTTGATTCAGATTGAAAACCATAAATTGGCAGTTCTTGCCCGTGCATAGGTTGCTACATTTGTTACCATTACAATGCGAACTGTTAATTCCTGGACAAGCAGAAGTGGGCGATTTCGTGTATATCAAGATACGCAACAAGAGATAATGAGTAACAGATGGCTTTTTAAGAGATTTGATAATTTTACACCAACGTTTTAAGTTTGATTGGTTGTGTATACTAAATGACAATTACTGTTTTTCGTGAATTACTCCTTGTAAGCTCAGTACATATTTTAATCCTCATGAAAATTGTAATCGGATATTATTTAAAAAATATATGTTACATTATCGATTTACATAGTTGTGCGATTAATTTCACTAAACTCTGCCGAAAACAGAACTCGCTTGTATTTCTTTATATATCTATGGACTAATATTCGTAGGTAAAATATTCAAAATCGTCTACGAAGTATTCGCAGCATTTAATAAGCATTACATACATTAGAAATGCCGAGAATACAGTCGATACAAAATAAACATGCTGTTGGCGGCATATCGTCCGCGTCTGCTTCGCAATATTCGAAGGATAAAGATTACCAGAAAGGATTAACTACCTGAACAATATAAACATAACGAGCGAAAGGTCCACAACAGATCGTTCCAGTTCACTCTGAAGAAATCCAGTCGATAATCGTGGGATTAAAATAGATCATCGCGGTGATAAGGAAAGAATATCGCAGAGCCATAAATATCATTATACCGCTAGTGAAAAAAAAAAAAAACTGAAGAAGAATAACAAAGTCCTAAAATAAGACTTGCAGTGATACTAATATATCGCGTAAGTAGCGTTTTCTTGAACATATAAATTTTTCATGTAATTAGTATAAAATATAAATATTGTAGTAATATTATATATTAATATAATATATAAAATTGGAAGAATTCCTGTGAAAGGTTAACTTGGATTGTTAGCTAAAACGTATTCAATTAAATCCAATTACGCTTTTTGATTTTGTTGTTAACAACTCGCGCGAATACTGCTACATTGAACGACATACTCTACAACACGAGTCCTACGGAAACATGAGCGGCATAATACAGTGAAATTTCGTGAATAAAAGTTCTCGTATTCGTTCGTGTATTAATTCCAGGTTTTAGCATCCATAATTACTTGCAACATGCAACGGCAGCCTCGGACACAGAAGCATCCTTTATTGCGACCAACTCTTAGCGACAAAAGTAAAAATGTCGCTAAAGCACGGCCAGATGTTAACTCGAATTGGTATAAAATTGGTCGAGTTAAAAGCTTATTTACATTTCCAATATATTTAGGTTATGGGGTGCGTACACCATTATGCAATTTTTACTACAACTGCATGGTTGGACAATCGAGCAATTTCACGTATCGAAATAAGTACGATGTTTAATTATTTTTTTGTTAATGTGACATTCCTTTTATTAAATCCTTAATAGGCTATAATCCCTTTCACGAAATATAAAGTTTACTTAATTTGCAACACGAAACAGATATTCATTAATGCATATACTTGTATCAGGAAATAGAGAGATACATTAATGCAAAAATATAAATGTCATTATCATGCTATTAATATATTATTAATTATTATATATTGTAATATTGATATTTTCTCTCTCTCTCTCTCTCTCTCTCTCTCTCTCTTTCTCTCTGTCTCTCTTTCTCAGTCAATTATAAATATTAAAATAAATAAAATCTTGGCACTCTGTAATCTGCTCAAAACAAATGTTAAACATAATTTTGTATTAGCATGTTTATAGTATACAATTATAAAACAAACAACGTCATATATGCCAAAGACAACCGTATGATATTAAATCTGCACGTAAAATATTTGAGAGAATTAAAAATAGTGATAGCGTGTGAATTAAAATCTGCTGAAATAATAGATATAGAAGATATTATAAGAAATTACACAACGTTCAAATGCAATTACATCTACAACAGAAGTCTATCTCAAATAACATGTACGGACTGCGGAGATAAAATCGCAAAATGGATTTCCAAGTATGTCAACGTTCAATAATTTTTTGACATTGTGCCATAATTTTCGTCAACTTTAAGAACTGTCAAATATAAAAAAAATTGATTTATAGAACTATAAATGATGAGAATGCTCGTATAGGATATATTGTGGTAAACAGTTCCGACCAAATGCCACTTTGGGACCAAATGCTGCAGTTAAACGTAGGACAGATTGACGAAAGTGATACAGTATGAAAATATATTGGATTTTAATCATTATATAATATCATAATATAATAAGACTGATTGTGGGTCTTCATTAGAATCTTTCAACTTTCAGTTGAAATGAGATTTTTACAATTTTACAACTATCTACCTTTATCTTTGATACAATTTTTATAATTTTACAACTATAAATCATATACACATACATACATACATATCATAAATTTTCTGCCTTGCGGGAAAATTATTTTTCACTTCAAGAAAGATATAACAAATCTCAATTACTCCGCGATTTTTATTTATTTATCAATTTCCTCTTTATTTTTATGTCATCATTAACCTATTTTATGATATTCCTCCTCTCTATTTCTTAACTCATTCGCAAGTGTTCATTTATTATTAAATGTTTATTAATAATGTTTCAGTAATTAGTGTGTTAGTTTGTTAGAATAATAAAAAATTGTTCTCTTCAGTTAGATGTATTTCACATGCACACGAACTGATCTACGTGTATTAAACACACGTCCTGCCTACATCAAAATAATGAATTTCATGATTATATATTATCATTTTCAGGTCCGTCTGCAACATAGATATGTGTATTCGTTGTTATCACAACCACCGATTCGTAGTCATATAACCAACTTGTTACATGTAGGTTTACGCGCAAAACTAGTCCGACCTAATATAATTGTTGCAACTTCTTATCTACAAGAATTAATTGAGTGGAAATGGATTATGATTGGCAACACAGTCCTGAAAAATAGCAAGGTACTGAAAAGGTAATCATGCATACACATTAATTATGTCTTTCACATTGCTTACAATCTCTTAGTACTAGGAGGACTTAGTAGTAAAAACTAATATATCTTTGGTAAGTTTCGAGTATATGCAAAATTTGTATTATAATTTATTATATATATATAGTATATATATATATATACACATGCATTATTATTTATATATTTATATTATATAATATTTATAATATTCAGGTATAGCTCTGCAAGAGAACTTCTCATAAAAAGTCGTGAACATGTTTGCGTATATGCCTACACGTGTTTTTTGTTCAATTTAGGTCGGAAAGAAACATTGATTGGCAGAACATTCAGATTCGGGAGCTATTAACATTGTTACCGATACAATGCGAAGTGTTCTTTCCTGGACAAGTTCAAGTAGGGGATGACGTGTACGTCAAAATGATTGACTGAGGAACAAAGAGCAACTTTTTTTTAGAATCTGTTGTTTCAACGTTTTTCATTTCATATTTCATCAATTTATATTTTGTCTTTCATGACAAAGTTAGCAATTGCTGCTTTTAAAAATTGACTTGTCGCAAACTCGATATATATCTTAACATTTGCAAATATTAGAATCGAATATCGAAAAAAATAAATATCGCTGAACTTTATAGTCGCGTTCGTGATTAATTTTATTTATTTCAGTCGCAAGACTGAACTCATTGACTCCCTCATTTGTGAGCTTGTAGCTACGGATCAATTATTAACGCAAAATTAAGTACAATGTAAACGCGCATAAAAGGAAAATTAAAGATATGACCGAACAGGTAAACATGCTTCTGGTGACCTATCGCACGCGTCTGCTTCATAACACTAAAAGAGTAAACATGTCAAGAGCATTAACGGTATAAAAAATATAAATTGTTCTAACGGGCGAGAACGGTTCCGCACAGAACGGTTCTAGTTTGCTCTGGAAATTTAGCTAGTTACAACGATCGCAGGATTAACTCTATCGATGATAAAGAAATAATAGCATATTAAATATTTTTAAATTATTCGACGTTGTGCTAATAAGAGGAACGCTGAAGAAAAATAACGAAACAGACCAGATTTGCGTTGATATTAATGATCCACGTAAGTAATATTTATGAACGTATAAAGTGTTCACGTGTTTCGTATACTTCGAAAAACAAAAGAGTCTCATTGAAATGTTAATTTAAAGTATTCGTTGGCAAAGTGCGTTGACATCGCGAAAGTACGTTCAATTTTTCAAAGTACGTTCAAACTGCAATTACGAGGCTTGACTTTCTATAGTGGAGTTCATGTTTTGCGTCAATACGACCTACAGTAAAACTACAGCTCTCATATGTGTTTGTGTGTGAATTTCAGGTTTTTTAATATTCGCAACTACTAGGAAGATGCATAAACTGTCTCAGTTATCGAAATATTCTTTATGGCCATCAATTTTTAGCAGCAAAAATAGAAATATTGTGCAAGAAGTACACGATCCAAATTGGCAAAAAGTTGGCGAAATTAAAAAATTATATATATATCCGATGCTCGATGGTGGTGGGGTGTATACTTCAAAAGGCAATTTTACCGACATGTCCGGAACGTCCAAGTGTTTCTCGTATCGAAATCAGTATGGCGTCTAAGAATTTATTTCTCTGATATGGCATTTCTTTTCTTAAATCTTTAATAAGTAACAATGTTTCTTGTGCAAAATCTAACATTTTATGAGATTATTTATACATGTTCACTTCAATCTGATTTGTTAATATACTTATATAAATGAGAGGATACATTCACATGCAATGTTAATATAAATGGCTCACGTCATTAATGTATCGTTTTATGTTGCTATTCAGCCGGTTAGAAATATTACGAAAAATTGAAGCCTTTACTCGGCGAACGGCTTAAAAACAATTTTTAACATTATTGTCCACTATTAGCATGTTCGTAGCGTACAACTGCAAAACCAATTGCATCATCCAACATTACGATAACTTCATGATACGCAATGTGTCAGTAAGAATTTTGGACAACAACCAGGTAATGATGATGCATTATTCAAGGCCTGATTTAACAATAAACTTAAATATTGTCATGAAATCGAGAAAAGTCATCAAATGCACCGTATCGTTATGTCATAAATTCTTATGTCAAGTGAAAGCTTTAGATTGTGGTACACAAGCCGCCACATGGATTTCCAGGTGCGCCAACATTCAACGACTCTCTTAAGTTTCGCCATAATTTTTGTCAAACTCGAGAAGCGTCAAATACTAAAAAAAAAAAAATGATTTACAGATGTCTAAATGACGAGAACGTCCGTTTAGCATATACAATGCCAAATGCTTATACGCAAGTATCCTTTTGGAAAAAGTATAACACGCATCTAAGTGACAGAAATATTACGGTACGAAAATATGTAAAGTTATAATATTCCATTAATATCCTGATTGAATATTGATTGCGCGAAGATTCGTTAAGACTTCACAATTTCCAATTTACCACTTATTTTTGATACAAATATAGTACAATTCAAGTACAATACAAAAGTTGTCTAGAAAGAAACAGAAATTAGTAAACTGTTAACAGTGTCCTTTTTATACTCCGCGATCATATTCTAATTTATCATATATTAATATTATAAATGCGGTGAAAACATATGTAATTGAAGTGAAAACATATATTAAAATATCATATCCCATAACATTTATCCTTTTCACAGATACCTTCAACACCTCTATTTACGTACTCCTTAATGCCATTTGTACCGCGCGGTCGTTTAAGCAATATGTTGATCAAAGTTATGCAGGAACATGCAAATAAGTCAAATATAATAATTAATACTAATGATCTTAACAATTTCATTGAATGGGAATGGATCAAGATCGGAAAAATAATCTTGAGGAATATCCATCCATGGAAAAGGTATATTCATCTATATATTATGGCGATATATTGGCTTTGGCAAATTTCAAGTATTTGCCAAAACTGCAAGAGAACTTCTTGTACGAGCATACATATACACGTACGAGTACGAGCATACATATACACGTGCTTCTGCCCGAATTAGATTGGAAACGAACCTCGATTGGCAAAGCATGCCCACTGACATGCAGGCAAGGCTGATACCGTTACAGTGCGAGTTATACCTTCCTGGGCAAATTCAAGCAGGTGATCCTGTGTACGTCAAGATGTCTAATAAAACGGAGTGAAAAGCATGAAGAGCACTCACTCATCATAGAATTTATTATTAAGTTATTTATATTTCATCTATCGTTTGACATTTTATTTATTTCATTGTAAATACGAAGTATCTATTATTTTTAAGATTCTATTTGTAAATTCAAAACATATATTAATCTTCATGAGATTTAGAACCGGATATTCCTAAATATATTTTATTAAATTAACATAGTTGCGCGATCAATTTTTTGGCCTCCACCGCAGAGTAGAACTTATTAGCTCCTTCTCAGGTGAGCTTGTATCTGCGAATCGATATTCACAATTTACATATTGATTATTAGCGTAAAATTATGTGCGGTATATACGCAGCACACACTTCAGATAAATTAAGAAGGCAAGCAACTAGATAAACATGCCGTTAGCGACCTATCGATCGCGTCTTCTTCGCGATGCTTAAAGGATAAACATTTCAAAAGCACATATTAACTGTATATAAATAATATAAATATAACTGGGGCGAGAAGTTTTCAACGGACGATTTTGCCAGTTTGCTGTGAAAACTTGACCGATCGGTTCGAACGATCGCAAGATTAAGACAGATCAGTACGTGATTAATTCTATCAAAGACAAGAAGAAGGGATTTCACGATATTATCAATATTGCCAGGAAAGAAAATAAAAAATAAATCAGGCTTGAAGTGATATCAGTTTGCGTTGCAAGTTGCGTGAGTAGCATTGATAAACATACAAATCGCTCTCGTGTTTCGTATATTTTCGAAAACGAAAGAAACGACGTCTCACCGGAACGCCAATTTAGGATATTCGCTATCGTGACAGTACGTTCGAATTTCCAAATTTAATTATGCGTCTCGATTTTGTATCGGAGTTGTGAGAATTCGCGCGAGGACAGCCGCGCTAAACGAGACACTAAGTAATTCGCGATGTATTATAAAACTTGTCGTAACTCGGCCAGCATAACGCAGCAAGATGTCGAGAATTAAAATTCTCGTGTACGTTTGTGTATGAATTCCAGATTATAGCGTTCATAATTACTTGCAACATGCAAGTATTGCGCCAGACATCGAAGCATCCCTTATTGCAATCAATTGTTAGCAAGAGAAGTAAAATCGACATCTCGACAATCGATTCGGATTGGTACATTGCTGGTGAAGTCTTTTATATATCTACATACCCGTTGCTCGACGGTTGTGGAAGAACTACACCGACATGCACTTTTACCGACATGCACATGATTGGGAAATTAAAGGATCTCGAATACCGTAATCAGTAAACCTGAGAATTTATTTCTTTAATTTGTAGTAATTTTTTTCTTAAATCTTCGATAAACGACGTGAGAAATATAATACATTACTGAGAGCTTAATTTTGATCCTTTAGACACGCTCACTTTTGCAAGTGTGCGTTTATATCACAAAATATATAAAAAAATAGATTAACACATTAAAGTGTTGATATAAATATCTCGTCATTAATATATTATAATACTTCATACTGATATCCAGTCGATTATGAAGATTAAGATAAACGAAATTTTTATTTCGACATTCGCCTGACAAAAATACTAATCATAACTGCACCACCAGTATGTTTGTAGTATACAACTGCAGAACCAATCGTATTATTAGAGCCACAGACAACCGTTTGGTAATCGGTTTAAAAGTAACGAATTTGGATAATTCCAAAATGCTGTTAAATTTTTATGAGAAATCTAGCATTATAATAAATTTAAATGAAATATATTGGGACAAAATCGTGATGTGCACTACATGCACGTTCTGCCACAAGCGCCATGTTGAGATGTTGTGTTGCGATTGCGGGCCAGAAGCGGCAGAATGGATTTCTGAGTTCGGTTATATTCAATAATCTTCGATGATTCGAGACATGCTTTCCGTCAACCTTAAGAACATGAAATACTAACAACCAATTTATTAACAGATGTTTAAAAGACAAGGATGCTTGCTTAGCATTTCATATGTACAATAAGTTCAAAGAAAACGTACCAGTATGGAAAATATTTCGAGAATTACGAAGCGCGCATCGAGATGAGAAGTTTTATAATATAGAACTAGATGAGAGCAATTTTGAGTATATAAAAGTTGAGTAATATAAAAATATATGTTTCATAATGCCTGATTAATATTGTAATATTATTAATTAATATTAATCGCTGAGGCTGCATGTCTTCACTTAAATCTTCGTTTAAACTTTTATCTGCCTCCTATTTATTAATCTTTGAAACAAATATATTACCACTTATATCATTCGCATATCCCCACACACGTGTATGCGTGCCACACACATACATAAATTAAAGTTAAACTTATATTAAAATCTCAATAATATATAGAGATAAGTGCACGTAATAAATAAAATTGCTAGACACAATTTTCTCGAGTGAAAAAGAGTTTAGTAAACTTAAACGTAAAGTTTACAGAGTCGTATATGTACTATATACGATCATATTTGGATTATTTATACGTTAATCATAAGTACAATAAACGAATATTAATCGAAAATATTGAAATATTAAATTTCATAATATTTATCTATTTCAGCAATGTTCGAACCCTGTATCTCACTACAAGTTAATGCCACGTCCATATCAGCAATGGATACCGTACATGTTGTGGAATAAAGATCAAACTGTACCAAATATAATGTTTGAGACTTCTCCTTTGCAAGATTCAACTGAATGGGATTTGATTATGATCGGCAACACAGTCCTGAAGAACATCAATCCTTATCCAAAGTAATTATTCATATCAGATATATTTCGCACATTGCTTGTATACATATATATATACACCCACGAAATCTGTTATTCACCGGGGCCGGCATATTTTTAACAAATTTCGAATGTTTGGAACAATTACGAGAGAACTTGCCTTCTCCCTCATAAACCTAGCAGATGTCTGTATACGTGTGTTCTCTGCTTGATTTAGATTAATAAGCAACATTGATTGGCGGAACATATCCATCGAAATGCTAACTGCGAAACTAAAATTGTTCCCGTTACATTGCAATGTGTTAATTCCTGGAACAATAGAAGTAGGCGATAAAATTTTCGTCAAAAAATAAATTGAGAAAGACTAAGTGGGACGGAAGGGATTTCTTTCACAGGATATTATTTACATTTTATTATACATTTTGTGGAATTTATTTTAGATATTAAGTGGCGATAGATTCTGACTTTTCATTCTTTAGTCTTCGTAAGCTCGACAGATATTTTAATCTTCTCGAAAATGACACGACTGGATGTAATAAAATAAATACAACAGAATCTACTGTTCTGCATCGCCGTGCAAATAAATTTATTAACCTGTGTCGGAGATGCAACTCGCGTTTGTACTCCTTCGAAAGAATTTATATCCACGGCTTGTACGACCGGAAAAGCGGTTGCGTCCGATAGCACGAATTGAATCTCAATCTTGAACATCTGATAGTTTAAACTATCGACAATAAGATACGATTGACAGCATCAATGATGAACAATTTGATTTGATTTTTTTTATTATTAATATCAAATAATAAATATACTGTGACATACTATGTGTAATAAGTATGTAATTAATCGTTAATTATTAATTCATATCCGTTACTAAAACTTTTATATTTGACGATCATCTTTTTTTTTCATCTATAGATATTTTTCATAACAATAACAAAACATCTTTCCATAATTTCCATTTTTGTTTTATTTCTTCTTACGTTCGTTTGCGGCTTTTCGATTTGTAGCACTCGAACGTAAGTCGAATGAAATTATAAAACTTTCATCACTGATAAAAAAGGTGATTATGAATTTCACGGATTTACACGAGCTCGTGCAAGATTAGAGATATATCCGCATATATTCGTCCACAAGATGCGAATATAAACACACGATGTTCTCTAGAAAAACCAAAAATACGATAAAACTGGTAAACACTCTTTCTTCTCTCTCTCTCTCTCTCTCTCTCTCTCTCTCTCTCTCTCTCTCTCTCTCTCTCTCTCTATTCTATCTATCGTTCATATCCATTACGACACATCAGATCTGTATATTTGCAAAGTAAATAACTTAGATGACATTGATCGTCAATATAAAACGAACGACCTGAACCGATAGTTTCAATTCATTAGAAAAATTTAACGAGTCGTGATAAAACAATGCGTAGGTCGTGAAAAATTGGTATACATTGGGCCATAAAGTGTCTCGTAACCGTATAATTACATACTACTAAAGGTTATATAATATTATATATTTTATATATTATAAATTTACAGAATATTATTTTTCTCTTACTGTAAGTGAATTGACGATAACTTGACTGTAAGTGAAGACGAGAATAAAAAGAACGACGTAGAGTTAAGGCCGTGCAGTAATATCGATAAAATTTCAGAAACTCAGGTTCACAATAATTATGTTAATAATTACAGGTTTTGGTATTTTTAACTATTTACAACATGATTGATAATTCCAATGCAACCAGAATGGATGTATTAGCCATGGAATTAAATAACAAAAATAAAAAATGGATCCATGTTGGTACAATAAAAAAAATATATATATATCCACTGTTGTCGTGTAAACCAATAGAGCTTACTCATTGCGAAATTGGCCGGTACAATTTAATAACAATCCAAAATGAGTTTATCTTGCGGAATAAGTAAGTACGTTGTTCAAAAAATTTCTTGCTTGATTTAAGATTCGCTTAAAGCGAATTTTCTTTCTTCAAATTTAAGTAGACGACAATATCACGCTTAATCTTATCGTATATAGCATCGTGAATTTAATATAATTATATGTACCCGTTTAATTCGACGAAAGAAAGTATTCACCTGCGGCTAATTATATTAAAAGAGAATTTGTTCCTTTGATCTGTCTTTTAATTAATTTGTACAAAAATATTGAACTTTTATTCTATATTACATCAGCATGTTCGTGATATACGATGACAGCACCAAATGTACGATTCAAGACAAGAAAGATCCCCGTCTGAATTCTCTAGAAATGATACCTATGACGGAATATAAAATCAAATTAGCAGGTGAAGGAATGCCCGATTTAGTCTTGGACATAATGGTTATCCAGAACATTTCTACACGCATTTCGGCCTTAACATCCTCCCATGATAAATTTTTAATTGGACTAAACTGCATCGACTGCGGCACAAAAGCCGCCGCGTGGATTTCCAGGTACGAACGTCCGACAAATCTTGACATTCTGCGATAATCTCCCAGTATCTCTTTTGGAAAATTCAACGTTAACGAGTCGACTTATACAGATATCTACAAAACTCTAATGCGCGTTTAGGATATAATATACCTCAGAATAAATCGTTGGAACCATTTGAGTACAAGTACAACTTTTTGAAGGAAAATAACGTAGATATTACGGTATTGAAAACAAATTATAATGTCAATTATCGAAATGTTCTACATGTCAATCAGATAACTCAGTCCAATTGTTTCCTACAGGTACCTTACGAAAATTTTCCGAGCTGCCAACTTTTGTCAGAAAACTCGCTCTCCTACGTAAACTCCCGATTGAATCACTCTGTACATACGAATGATTTTCAAGCGAATATTGTGTTTGCACCATTCCACGATACTAGTTTTACGGAATTTAAATGGGAATGGATTAATATCGGCAATGCAATCATGAAGAATGTCAAACCGTGGTTGTAATCGAAATTTTTCATTAGTTATATGTTCATACAAGAGCAAACATATATCTAACAGGGAAAAATATATATTCGGTGCTTCTCCTAATAATATATTGATTTAGATCTAAAGTCCTTTATTTGTTTAATTATTTATTTATTAATTTAATTAAATGGAATAAATAATTGCTTTTCATGAGAAACTGTAGTTTTAAAAGAATGTTTCCTCATTAGGAGAAAGACAATGTTTTCACAGTATATAAAAATATGTGTATTAATATAATATACATAAATATATTATTAGGGGACAACGAACAAACATTACTTATCTTTTAATTATTTTTTTCTCAATGCATTTATCACTCGTACCTCTTATAATCACTAATGATGCAAATGCGAATATTTTCGAGAGGTTGCAAAATATTACAATTATATATTTACTTAAGGCATATCATATCTTTTAATAAATAGTATTTTTCCATTCTTTTTTTTTTTTAGATTACATGTAGAATCGGATATACCCGTGGATATGGCATTAAACTTGATGCATTTACTTTGTGAAGTATATATTCCTGGATGCGCATTTATAAATAATATTGTGTATATTCGTGTAAATAAGAACGATTCTGAATACGAAGAAGAACATGTTCGTCTGATCCATTAATTTCTCAGTACAAGATGGTCCTCTATCGGACTGCTTGCAAAAATTTTTTTATACATGTACTCCACATAATCAATATATAATGTTATTTTAATATTATTGTATATAACACTCTATATAGGATAGTTATACATATAATTATTATATATAAAAATTATATGTGTAATAAAGATATATTCCCATTTGCATAAAACTTCTCTTCATATTTTATGCCATCTTATTTTTGTTCTTTTGTATTTAAACTTTATATGTATTATTTACACTGTAATAAAATCAATTAAAATGAATACGTCGACTGCAAATAAATATTGAGCAAACTGAAGAAATACGGATGTCATTAATTTTCCAATTTTCTCATCCTAAGATTTATTTTTCTGAAAACAAATTTTTAACAAACAAAAATTTTGTTCCAAATTTCCTCAATTTTCTCTCTTATAATTACACTTGCTCCACCAATAACAGATCTCGCGTTATATAAGATATATTTTTAATTAATTGATAACTTTATTAAGCATATAATAAATAAAGTACTTCAATTAAATGATTCTTCGTTTGCGTTTTTTAGACTTGAAACATCGAATTAAAAATCAGACAAGAGAATTATCGACATCCGATAGAACATCGATGTGAGTTGCATATCAAACTCTACAAGTTTTGGAAAGTTTGTACTTACGAACTAACGTTCTCAAATATACGTTACAAACGTCTTTATTCGTCAATAATGTTGTGATCATAGAATATAAATAGAAAGTCACGGAAGAAACACAGAAGTGAACTATCATAAACCAGTTAAATTCTTCTATTGTTAGCATCTCTCTCTTAACGTTCGAATCATAAGCGGTCGACTGCGGTTTTGAAAATTAGATTTTCATAAATCTGTGTTGAATTGCTTGTATCTCTGCGCGCGTAATTGTGTGCAACATGAATGACAGTAGCAACATTGCACCCCTCGATGAAGAGTTTAAAAACAATTATTCGTGGCTTCAAGTAGGTACAGTCACGAACGTGTCTTTAAGGCCAGTAATATCAGGCAATACAACAGAAACTGATAATTATCTATGTAAAAGTATCGGTTTGACTGGTTGGTTTGGAGTGGACAAGATGACCGAGTTACGGAAAGAGTTAGTATTCAAAAATTTATCACCTTAACTTGTGAAATTTGTCCGCGTGTGTTTTAGACAAGACGATATTATTACATTCTAATGTACATTATGTATAAACATAACGTGATTATATCTAATATATTCCAATAACTTAACAAATATATTCACAAATATATTTACTTGTAATACCGATCCACAAATAAGAGAAATATAGAGAAAAGCATTCTATAGATTGATATGTTATAATCTTTATATCAATGTTGAAATGTTATGCGACAACTGCTCAGCTGATTAGATAATGTAAAATAGAATTTCGATCACATCACACGCTGAAAGTAATATTCAATTTTCACTCAATTTATCAGCATGATCGTTATATATGACCAGGAAAACAACTGCATCCAAGAAAACGAGCCGAATATCAATCTACAAAATCTGATAATTGAAAAAGCTAACAATTTATATATATACTTCATGGCACCAGGAATGTGCAAGTTAGCTGTAGACATGTTTGATCAACTGCAAAATTTGAAAATCGTACAGTGCAAAATGTCTTTCTGCAAAAAATATGTAGTTGAGGTAAAATGCATTGATTGCGGCAATGAAGCAGCCGAATGGATATCTAAGTGAATATTTCATGATTTTATAGGGCATCCTGTGATATTCTACATTATCAATTAAAAGTATGCTAATTAGTTGATTTACAGATATCTGAATAAACCTACACTACGTTTAGCGTATGCTTTAATTGAGCCCGAAACTCCATCTTATTTTTGGCATCAGTTGAAACAGGCGTATCGATTAGAGCCAGATGAGAGGAACATTGTGGTAATCTAGTCAAGTTATAAATTAATATTTTAAATAATGTAAATTATATTGCTCAACTGTTAACTTATATGTTACGTGTTATATGTTACAAATGTTATATAAGTATAACATTTATATATTTTTACATCACGGCTGAGCGATTTCACCGGTCTCATTCACAAATCATACAAATTATACTCTCGTTTATGGTAGTGGCATAATTCGTGAAGAGATTACCATATTAAACTGTTGTATTATAAACAAATAATTTGAAATATAACATCTCTTTAGATACCTTTCAACACTATACCACGTTACACGTTGTTGTCGCACCAATCGTTAATAGAATTAAGTAAAGTATCGTCATATCATAATGATCAAAACCATTTTTCCCCCGATATCTGCTTTACGCCGCTGTCTACAATTCCTTTTATCGAGTTTGAATGGGAATGGATCATGGTCGGCAAGGCAATCATGAGGAATGTCAAACCATGGGACAGGTGAACACACAAACCCAATTAGTTTTTAATCCCCTTGTTTGCCTATCTTCAAATTTGTTAATGCAAGTCTGTAATGTTCTCAACGGATGTCAAAACAAAAATCATCAAAATTTCCCTGATAAAATATCTAATGCATTATTCATGTGTTTCTTTTTTCATGATGTAACCGAAGTTCAATACTCGATCCGAAGCAAATGCCAATGGATATGAAAATGAATTTGATGTTGTTACATTGCGAGATATATCAACCTGGAAGCGTGCGAACGGGAGATTCAGTGTACGTTAGCCAACCTCTTACAGACAATACACTCGATACAAAAGGAAAAATAGATCTAACGTTAACTAGTTCTTTAAAACATTCAATTACTACTGCAATTGCAGAATAATGTGTTAAATGCTAAATGTGGAAAAATATGTTGAACGTGCGGAATATCTTCAAGATATATTGAAATATATTCAGATATATGAAATTCTAAAAATATATTTATATATATATATTTTTTTAAATATCTTCAGAGAATCTTCTACATTTTCATTATCAATTGTCATTGACATTACTTTGATCTTAACAAAAATATGAGAATTAATATTAAAATAAATACACGTCAATTTAATCGTGTTTTAAATCGTATCAATAGAACTTATTAAACATTGAGGAAACGACGAGATAAATATAATTTAAATGGTCCATCTTTTTAATTTTTTTCTTCGTAAGTAGAAACGAGACAACAATAGAAAATTATATTCTGCACTTTTCCAACATATGCTTTTATATGTAACTGTTTATGTGTACGATTCAACATTACTAATAATAGGCGAAGATTTAATGTATTTAAGTAAATAAATTTATATTAAATAATAACTTCTGGTTAAAATCATTAATATATATATATATATATATATATAAAAGACCCACTCGCATGTCACTTAACAGGCGCAGTATACATTGTATTATCATACATAATATTAAATAAATATAAAATTTCAATTCCATTTACGTGAGAAAGAATGAGAGCATGAGAAAGAGAGAGAGAGAGAGAGAGAGAGAGAGAGAGAGAGAGAGAGAGAGAGAGAGAGATTGTTTCTTTATATTTGTTATAACTTCTGTCTTCTCTGTTTATCATTCTTTTTGTATTCTCTTTATGTCGTTCTCATTATGTTTGTGAACATATATACAGTGTAGAACATATATATATGTATACAGTATATTTATAATATTATTATATATAACATCCTATATAGAATAATTATATATTGTATAAAATATTATTATATAGAATAATTATATATATAATTATTATATATAATAACTATATTAATTATTATATATAATTATATAATAATTATATGTGTAGGAAAGAGATATTCCCATTTGGATAAAGCTTCTGTTCATATTTTATCCCATTTTATTTTTGTATTTAAACTTTATATATATTATTTACATTGTAATAAATAAATCAATTAAAATATGTACGTCGACTGCAAATAGATGTTGAGAAAACTGAAGAAACAAAGACACGGATATTATCAGTTTTCCAAATTTCTCTTCCCAATATTTAATTTTCTGAAAATAAATTTTTAACGAAAAAAATTTTGCTTTATGTTCCCTCAACTTTCTTATAATTTTATATAAAATTACACTTGCTCTGTCTCCATCAATAACGTATCGCATTATATAACAGATATAATATTTTAAATTAATTGATAACTTTATCAAGCATATAATAAAAAAGTTACTGTCTTGAATTCAATGATTCTTCATTTGCACTTCTTCGACTTGAAACACAAATTCGAATCACAAATCAGATAAGAGAATGATTAACGTCTAATAGAATATCGATGTGAGTTGAATATTAAACTTTACAAGATTAGACAAGTCTATATTTACAAACTAACGTCTTCAAATATACATTACAAATATCTTTATTCGCCAATAACGTTATGATCATGATCATGGAATATAAATAGAAAGCCGCGGAAGAAACATAATGAAATACTACAAACCAGTTAAATTCTTCTATTGTTAGCGTCTGTCCCTTATCGTTCGAATCATAAGCGGACAATTGCGGTTTTAAAAATTAAATTTTCATAAATTTATATTGAATTATTTGTATCTTTGCGTGTGTGATTACGTGCAACATGAAAGACAGTAGCAACATTACACCTCTCGATGAAGACTTTAAAAATAATTATTTATGGTCCCACGTAGGTACAGTCACGGACGTGTATTTAAGGCCATTATCAGGCAATATAACAAAAGCAAACAATTATCTATGTAACAGTACTGGTTTGACTGGTTGGTCTAAAGAGGACAAAACAGACAATTTACGAAAAGAGTTAGTATTCAAAATTTATCATCTTAACTTGCGAAATTTGTTTACATGTGATTTAGAAAAGACAATATTATTACATTCTAATTACATTATGTATAAACATAATGTAATTATATCTAATTATTAACAAATATGTTCATAAATATATTTACTTATAATACTGATCACAAATAACAGAAGTATAGAAAAAAGAATTTTGTAAATTGATAATGTTATCAACTTTATATCAGTGTTGAAATATTACGCGATAACTGCTGAGCTAATTAGATAATATAAACGACAAATGGAATTTCGATCATACCGAATGCTGAAAATAATATTCAATTTTCACTCAATTTATCAGTACGATCGTCATATATGACCAGGAAAACAACATCATCCAAGAGAATGAGCTAAATTTCGAACTACAAGATATAATAATTAGAAGATCTCAGATTTTCAACCTACACTTCGCGGCACCAGAATCGGACAACTTGATGATAAGTTGTCCACCGCCAGCATGGAAATTCATAAGCTGCAAAATGTCCTTCTGCAAAAAATATATGGTTGAGGTAATGTGCATTGATTGCGGCGATGTGGCAGCCGATTGGATATCTACGTGAGTATTTCATGATTTTATAGAGCATCCTGTGATATTCCACATTATCACTGAAAAGTGTGCTAATTAGTTGATTTACAGATACCTGAATAAACCTACACTACGTTTAGCGTATGCTTTAACTGAGTCCGAAACTGCAGGTTACTTCTGGCATCAGTTGAAACAGACGTATCGATTAGAGCCAGATGAGAGGAACATTGTGGTAATCTAGTCAAGTTATAAATTAATATTTTAAATAATGTAAATTATATTGCTCAACTGTTAACTTATATGTTACGTGTTATATGTTACAAATGTTATATAAATATAACATTTATATATTTTTACATCACGGCTGAGCGATTTCACCGGTCTCATTTACAAATCATACAAATTATACTCTCGTTTATAGTAGTGGCATAATTCGTGAAGGGATTAAACTGTTATATTACACTGTTGTATTATAAACAAATAATTCGAAATATAACATCTCTTTAGATACCTTTCAACACTATACCACGTTACACGTTGTTGTCGCACCAATCGTTAACAGAGTTAAATAAAGTATCGGCATATCATATTGATCAAAACCATTTTTCCTCCGATATCTATTTTACGCCATTGTCTACAATTCCTTTTATCGAGTTTGAGTGGGAATGGATCATGGTCGGCGAGGCAATCATGAAGAATGTCAAACCATGGGACAGGTAAACACACGAACGCAATTAGCATTTTAATCCTTTCGTTTGCCCATCTTCAAATTTGTTAGTGCAAGTCTGTAATGTTCTCAACGGACGTCAAAACGAAAATCATCAGAATTTCCCTAATAATAATATCTAATGTAAAATAAAAATAAATATAATAAAGTAATGTAAAAATAAAATAATAATATCTAATCTAAAATAAAAATATCTAATGCATTATTCACGTATTTCTTTTTTTATGATGTAACCGCAGTTCGATACTCGATCCGCAGCAAATGCCAGCGGATATGAAAATGAATTTGATGTTATTACATTGCGAGCTATATCAATCCGGAACCGTGCGAATGGGCGATTCAGTGTACATTAGTCAATCTCTCATGAAAAATACACACAATACAAGAAAAAAAGTGGACCTGTGCAGCATTCTTTAAAACATTCAATTACTACTGCGATTGTAAAATAATGGGGTTTAAATGTGCAAAAATATGTTGGACATGCAGAATGTCTTCAAGATATACTGAAATATATTCATATATATAATATTCTAAAAATATATATATATGTTGTTTCAAAATATCCTCAAAGAATCTTCTACATTTTCATTGTCAAGTACTTCGACCATAACAGAAATATGAGAATTAATATTAAAATAAATATATTAATATTAAAATAAACGTCAATATATTTTAAATTGTTTCAATGGGACTTATTGAACATTTAAAAAACGACCAGATAAATGCAATGTAAATGGTCCATCTTTTTAACTTTTTTCTTCGTAAGTAGAAACAAGACAACAGTAGAAAATTATATTCTGCACTTTTCCAACATATATTTTTGGAACTGTTTACGTGTACAATTTTATATTACTAATAATAAGCGAAGATTTAATGTGCTCGATTTAATAAATTTTTATTAAATAATATTTATATTATTATATACATTTATATTATTATTATTATATATTAAATAATATTTTTATTAAATAATAACTTCTTGTTAAAATCATTAATATATATATAAGACCCACTCGCACGTCACTTAACAGGCGCAGTATACATTGTATTATCATACATAATATTAAATAAATACAAAATTTCAATTCCATTTACGTGAGAAAGAATGAGAGCATGAGAAAGAGAGAGAAAGAGAAAGAGAAAGAGAGAGAGAGAGAGAGAGAGAGAGAGAGAGAGAGAGAGAGGGAGAGAGATTATTTTTTTATATTTGTTATAACTTCTGTATTTGTCATTCTTTTTGTATTCTCTTTATATCGTTCTTGTTATCTTTGTGAATATATATATATATATATATATTTCCGATTATAATAACAAGATATCGTTACATAGATCGTTGCTTTATTTCACATTACGTCCACACGCAATCGTTCGCAAAATATACATAGAGTGTGCTTCAGAAAAACCGAAAATACGACAAACCTGATAAACACGAAGTCCGATCGATCGTTCGCGTCCGTCTCCCGGTACTCACAATCTGAGTTCTTCGAATGTTAACGGTTTCTTAAAATATAATTCGTTTTATACGACCGACGATCGATGTGTACCGGCGGCTTTATTTCATTAGGAGAATCAATTGTAAAGACTGGGAAAAATCTACGTGCGGTAATCATCATTAACAATCGAAAAAGAACTGTTTATATAAAAACAGTTTATATAACAGCTATATAAACACTTTGTATATAATGGCTCAGATTTAGTGTATCTCACAGTGTTGGCCACGGTCAATGTAAGCGAACAAATTAGAACAGAGAGAGAGAATGATATAATCCGTGACACTCATGAAAAATTGCATAGATGCAAATTACGTAAGTAACCTTCTTTGTCGATTACTCATTCTAGCATTTCTCCTCCTGCGCGAAGCAAACGAAAATCTTCGTTATCGCAAAAGAATCGAGAATTCTTAAATCAACCTTCGTAGTCGGATCGTCGTTTGCAAGTCGATGGCAAGTTCTATCATAATACGCTCGCGAGACAACAGCACGATGGGATTCATATTTAAGACTTTTTTGAAATTCCGACGACTCGTGTTCTCAAGAAATGCATTCCCGATTGCAGCTTTGACGACGAGATGTACAAGACACAGATATTAAGTAACAGATACCAGTCACTTTCCACAGAATTAGCTGATTGCACCAAAAAATGGGTTCAAGTTGGTAGAGTGAGGAACATGTGCTTGTATCCAATGTTTGCGGGCAAGGCAATGGATTTACCTGTCTGTCAATTTGACTTGTGCGGACTGAGTGCGATAAATAATAATTGTCAGATTCAGAATCAGTAAGTGTCGGGCCGGAGAATATTCCTCTTCGACCTGAAATTCGCATTAAGATTTCGCTCGATGTATTATCCGGCGGAAATAATATTAAATTTTCATTTCGCATTGTGTCAGCATGTTCATAATATACAATCAGAAGACCAAACATAAGTACGAGGAGACCTGCAACCCTGTTTTGAGCACACTAGAAATAATACCTATGAGCAATCACATAATGCTATTAAAGGCCAGCGGCATGCACGAGTTGATCTTGGACCTGATGAAAATCCAGGAGAGCTTCCAAATCATTCCGTACTACGAATCGCTCAATCATAAACATCTAGTGGAACTACGCTGCCTCGATTGCGGTAAAGAGGCCGCCGAATGGGTCTCTAGGTATGTACATTTGAGAATAATTTGGACGGAAATTTTGGAAATATAGTTTCTATCATTTGCTGGGAGGGCTCAATAATGATAAACCGGTCCACAGGTGTCTAGACAAGCCAGATTTACGTTTAGGATTTAACAAGCCAGGCTCAATGATGAGAGAGTTATATTGGAATCAGTTCGGCCAACTATACTCGCTCAACGGCAAGGATCGAGAATCCATGGTGGCGTAATGAAATTATAACGTTCATTTATATCATATAGTATTAATAGCTAATCTGAAGCATCGATATTGCTGATTACTTCCGATTGGATGTACTGCACTTCGCGATATTATCACGATACTAAAATGTATCTTAATCACGGAATAATTATTCTCCTCAGGTATGTTACGCGGAATTACCGAACTGTACATTGGTCTCGGAGAGATCGCACACCATCATAAACGAAAAATTATCACAATTTATACATATGCGGCAATTTATCCCGAATATTATCGTTACGCCGTATAGAAGTTCTCCCTTTTTCGAGATTAATTGGGAGTGGATCAAAATTGGCGATGCAGTCATAAGGAATATCAATCCATGGGGAAGGTGCGCATTCATCATAAATCTCTTGTAATTTTGTATTCTAAGAAAAAAAATATCTAAGAAATAAATAATATTTAGTCGGTGGATAATATATATATTTAAATTTAAATTCGTTAAATAAAATAAACAATTGCTTTCATGAAGAATTATAGATTTAAGGAAATGCGTATTTTCTTACTAAAAAAAATGTACTCTCGTAAAATTATATATATTAGTATAAGTAAATCTCTTATAATTAAATAAATTTTTAACTTTCTTTTGTCAAGTGAGCAGATATACATTTTCTTAAGATCGTAGCTTCTCTCATGGAAGCAATTGTTTATTCCATTTAAATGAGAAAATTTATGTCTAAATAATTATATTATCACTATACACCGTATCAATATTTGTTATTTCTCAGGTATTTTTAATATCTCTTACGACTGGTCGCGAAGCGTTAAAACCAGGCTAGGAGACAGCACACATTTCTTTTCTAATTCTTTTCTTTTTCTTAACAAATTATACTTTTTTTACATTTAGATATTCGGATATTGAACCGAAGAATTTACCTATAGACTTGGTTATACAATTAATGACGTTAACTTGCAACGTGTATCTTCCGGGAGAAATGCGAATAGGCAATACCGTGTATATCCGCGTTAATGACGATTCGAATGAAATTGATTAGCAAAGAGCAATATAATAAGTACGATTTGCCAGTTTCTCAATGCGAGACCCAATGGTTGACAGTCAACCCAAAAAGCTGATGATTTTATGTAAAATCATAAGTTGATTAATAAATTAAAAAAAAATGAGTAGAGTGTTCATGTAATCTTCGAGGAAACCGCTTTAAAAAGTGACCAGAAATTAATAATAAATAATTTAAACTGATAATATTTGTACAGTTGCATATCCTAATATTACCCCATGTTAATAATATAAAAGTCTAATAAAAACGAAGATAAGTTTGCACAATTTCACGTCTACGAAATAGTACTCGTATATTTGCAAATAATTGTTCTTTCGTATAATAAAAATAAATATTCAGCCAATGGACTTATCCATAGAAATGAGATCGGCGTTAGACTTATTGTATTGTGAATTGTATGTTCCTGGAAATGTAAAAGTAAATGACACCGTGTGCATTCATATCTCTTAAAAAAATTGGCGTATGTATGAATATATAAATTCATACAGCTGATAAACGCAGTACTACTAATACATAGTTCATGCGACAGAGAGGATACGCGATTTATAAAAGTTATACGATCTATTGAAATAGCCGTTTATTTATATAAATTCCCGGTCAGAGAAACGGTGATTTCATCGCGCAAAATTAACAGAGAAACATCAGAATATCTTCTATGCGTGATATTGGCTGCAAATATTATGACTTACTGAGAATCCAAAATTATCTTCTTAATCTTTCTGAATTATATAGATGCAACAAATTCCACAACATATTCACACCATATTTTTGGTTGAATGAAATATTAAAGACGAATACAATAACTTATAAGTTATCTGTTGGCTATTTCTATATTATAAATGTCAGTAATATGCTAATAAATAATCATTACACACATTTCTATTGGATTTCTCATTGTATCCGACAAACAAATAAAATCGCTATCAAATACAAATTAAAACGCGAGAATAAAGGTTATTCGAGGGACCGGAAATTATTTGATGATTTTAATTCGCCGCAAGAAATCGATCGAGCATGAAATCCAGGAAGGCCAGTGATTGAACGTTCCGAAGAAGCAATATTTGTAGGAAGGATCAAGTACTGTTAGTTGCAAGTGAAGTAAGACTATAAATTAAAGAACAAAACAATTTATAAGAATATTAACGATGAGATTGTTATAATGGATTGCAGTTGTTTTCCATTTGTTGCATATTTAATATATTCTTGAAACAATAGTCAACATTCCATTGAATATTTAATATTTGACGATGTTCGAGGAATCATTTCTCCGTAAAATGTACACAAGAAACTGTAGAAGAATCATAGCGAAACAATGTAAGAAAAGTAAACAGTTTACCGTTTATTGATTTTGCTTTTTTTCATGACATTCAGATAATATAAACATTATATGTAAATAATTTGAGAAAATAAAAATCGTCATTAAATATGAGTGGCGCGCGCATCAAGTGAAAATAAAGTGCCGACGTGGTATAACAGTTTCAATTTATCGTGGAAATTCGATCAAGCATAAGCACATCGGGGAAAATCCGTGAATTAAACATTTTCGTAAACAAAGAGGAAGCAACGCCGTAACAGATATTGAATAACGTTATTTAAACTGCGAATAAAGTCATTGTCATAAATAAAAAGCAAAACGATTGATATATTAATATTAACGGTAAGAATTGTATTACTGATTTGTCATTGTTTCTTATTTATTGCTCTCACGCGTATGTTCTTCTGGAACAATCAATCAAATTCAACGTTTCACTGAATATGAATTTATACTAATTAATTGTTAGCAACCAAGAAAATATATATTAAAATTGCTTATATTAAACCATATATTGCTAGTGATTGTAAAATGCGTATTTGAATAAAATTTTATTACTTATATGGGATAACGTTCCGCAAGGACGAAGCAACGCGGAGTGGTTTACGATTCGGTAAAGGTCGAAAAATAAACAATACATCATAAAAAAGAATCCAGATCCCGAAGAATAAGAATAAGTTTTCAACAAACGTGTCTTCGTGATTTCAGATTTTAATTTCGCAATTAGCCATGGAGAAGAATACACTTGAGCCGGGAGACGAATTGTTGACCAAGATTGATCGGAAATGTATCATATACAGACACTTATCGAAACCAACATGGTTCAAAATCGGTAGAGTAGAATCTTTGTATATGTATCCACTGAAAGGAGCCAACGGAATGAGCATGAAGAAATGTCAATTTTCCTTTAAAGGCCCTATAGGATTCAGTGATACTTTCCAATATCGAAACAAGTCAGTATAATGTTAAAAAATTAACTGTCTTAATTTACGATCGATTTTGCTGCAGACTCAAATGACAATTAGTGTTACCGAGGTTGTAATGTAACAGTGCACATATAACGTAATCAATCAAACTTATCTTTATTCGCATTAATTTATACTTTATTAATTTATACTTTCTGACTTTTACTCCTTCTTACAGATTTTACGAAGGAAAACAAAAAAAAATAACTTTACATATCCATAATTAGAGTAATTTAAATTTTTTATTTAATTAATCAAATTATTTAATTGTCAAAATGTGTTACAGCAAGAGGATTATTTAACTATATATTATTAATTCATAATAAAATATATTACTATAATTAATAAATAAAATAATCAAATTATTTCACAGTAAACACCAACCGTCAGTAACATTAATTCAATATTACAATTTTTCACCCAGTAATGTAAATATAATATACGTGATATACAGTAGTCACATTGTTCACAATGAAGAATTATAACATTTGTATAATGTTACCGTAAGTCGATGTTTACTGCGTTTATTATTATTACCAATAATAATATCACTTAGATAATAATATATTATTTATAATATATTATTTAACGCACATTTGTCAAAGAACTCTCGTTATACAACCTGCCGGATATAATATTCAACTCTTACTTTATCAGTATGTTCGTGATATATAACGAGGATACCAAATGCGTGGAAAATCTCCATCTAGAAAATATGAATTACTCTTTGTCGGCTCTGAGAATAGAGTCTATCAATAAATCCATGATGATATTGAAAGGTATAGGAATGTTAGATTTAGTCTTGGACATAGATAATATCAGAAGAAATGGAGATATCATCACGTGCAGCACATCACTCTACATGAAATTCATAGTAAATCTGAAGTGTATCGACTGCGGCGTAGAAGCCGCCGAATGGATCTCCAGGTATGTGTGTTTGACAGGCATTAATGTTTGCGCGCGAAATTTCATCGTCGAGGAACACTAAGCCCTGACGCAGCGACTTGTAGATACCTCAACAGACCAAACATCCGTTTAGCGTACACTGAAGCCGACGCACACGTGAAGCAAACATTTTGGGAATGTTTGGCCAAGACGTACGAAACAATAAGGGATGACAGAGATCTTACGGTATTGAAATTTTCCGGGTGAAGATTTGAAATGGAAATATCACATTTCACTTAGATATGACTCGATGCGTCTCATCTCAACAGATATCTTCTGCGAGTGTACCGACTTACACGTTAATATCCAACAAGATGCTACACGAGTGGAACAGCAAGTACGACGGATGTCCTAAAACAATCGAGGAATTTCAACCGAATATCGTCATTTGGTGGACTTCCCCATGCATTCTTCAAGAGATCGAGTGGGAGTGGATCAAGATAGGTGATGCGATTATCAGGAATATCATACCGTGGTCGAGGTAAATTAAATCGCAATTGCGTCAATAGTATACTTGACGCAATGTTCTTCACCCTTGACTCTCTTATCGGTACACGTCCCGTTCTTAATTCCTTTTTCTTTTTCTATTTCTGCACTGCAAATCTTCGCGACGATTACGAAATAAGATAATGTTCCTCTCGTTCCCTTTCAATAAGATATCGTGAAATATATTTTGATTTATTAATATTCAAGCGCTCTCTTTTCTCTTTTCTTCTTTGTCTTTCTAGACAGTGTACAAAGATGCATCCGCGGAACATACCCATGGACATGACATTAGATATGTATTTATTACATTGCGAACTATACATTCCGGCGGAGGTACACGTAAACGACAACGTGTATGTGCATATCCCTATGAAAAACTACAAACACCTAGACACTGACAATCTAGATAATATGGAGTGAAGAGTTCTCATGCGATTTATTAATTGCTTTTATAAAAACTAACTTTCCATATTCATATCCAATTCCAAGCAGAAAAGCGATGCATTAATATGGTTAATTGGAAAAGCAAGAATATTTTTCATGATTTCATTCGCAAATAATACAGTTTTTAAAATTAATATTGCAATACTGTTTTAATATTAATTGCAATACTGTCTAGCACACTTTCACAATTTTATACGCTTCAATTATACTGCGACAAGTCTCGCGATGCATTTACGCATAAAGTTTTAAATAAAGCAATAAAAATAAGTATAAATAATAATTGTAATTTATTGTATTTATTGTATTTATTTAATTATGTATATATATATATCAATATCAAAGATCTTTAAATTAATAATTGCTTTGCAAAGAATAAAAATATGCGATTTAATATTATTGCATTGTTAATTACTTCAACTGTTGTCATACGACTTGTTTTATATATATATATATATATATATATACACATATAAAACAAATATATATACAAAACAAATATATTGAATATATATATATATATATATATTGGTATATATACATTTCTTTTATATAAATCAATTTTCTATATTCATATATATTTCCAATCAGAAACGTGATCAGAACGTGATTAATCGATATGGTAAAGTTAATTTAAAAAGGTAAGAACATTATCCATTTGCGTCACTTGGTCCGTAATGTTAGTTATTGTTTATATTAGTTGCTTCAATTGTTATAATTATTAATTTTGCTAATGTATATTATAATATTATATTATATCGTGTACATTGTTATATTAGTTGTCATATAATTAGTTATGAGTTACATCATGTTATGTGTTAACAACAGTTACAAGTTTATTGTTTATAATGTTTATAATAGTTTGTCAATGCGGCTCCTCCTACTTTGCGACTTTTGCAATCTCTTTTCTGCCGCTCTCCTCTTTCCCCCACGAAAACAGATACATTGTGTCCACATGGAGATCCATGTGGTTTTGTAGTTCCACGTGTATCCATGTGAAACGCAACGTGCATTTTTGTGGGGTTTCCCGTTCCTTTCACTTGTAATTACTGTTTAACGTTGTGATGTATAATTCATTATAGGCTCATTTGTAAACTTTCTGAACTTTCTATCACGCATCATAGAAACACAATAAAACGTACAAGTCACCGTTATATCAGTTTATAATGAATTTGTATCTACAGTAAATATTTGGGAGAATATTGTCCGCACGTGGCAGAGTCCTGTTAAGAAACATAGAGAAAAACTCAAAACATAAACAAAGTACATATGTTGATCATTCGCAGCTTATAATCTCACCGCATTAACAGACTCCTAACGTTCCGAACGATTTGACGAAGAATTATAGAACAGTCGAACGAGGCAAGTGGTAGGAAGTGCCAGTTTCAGTGTGTCTCGAAAATCTATTCTATTCAAAAGTGCAAAACATCTGAGAAGGTATAAAGATATTTAAGTTAAGAAGCTAACCTTCTAACGCGGACGACTACCTGCGTCGGTCACAAAACATCGACGTTCTCAGTGTGCGATTAGAAACGGACCGAAAAGAAGTTCGACTGTAGCATCTCAACGGAAAAACCGTCTAGGTAAAAAATAATACTTTATTTTTATTATTCCTTACGTGATCGACGATTAACATACGAGACAGCTGCAGAATATTCGTTCAAATAGCTAGCTGATCGAATGCTAATTGCAGTGAATAGTACAAAGCAAAATCTGAATTCTTCTATCAAACTTCTCTCGCGACTACGAATGGCTCAGATTCACGAGTTAATGATCGAATCGATAACGATAATCATTTTTCGGAACGTCCAATTTGACAAAAATTAGATTTTCTATCGATTTCGATGCTTTGCACGACGGATCCGCTTGATATTATTTCAATGACGTGTCTACACGTGGTTAACCTATATATCGATTCAATATCTGGAAGATATACAGATATCGACCGATTATTGATGATCTATTATTGTTGTCATAATCATCCAAATCGAGTCCATACCGTGAATATCGAGTCGACTTGAGTATAATATAAACTAAACAACGACTAGATCGTCAACGTCTAAATTTTAAAAATATCAAGCCGACAGTTAATTTCTACACTATTTCGACTTGATTCCGATATAATTTCAAGCGGATTCTTTATCGACTCAAGCGATTCTTTACCGAATCAAGCGATTCTTTTTCTCTTAAAACCCAATACTTAAGTCAACATTCCTCCTTTCAGTGTGGTTATATTCATCATATTTGCAGCATATCCAGACGAAACATGTCCGGATTTTACAACAGGTTCCTCGACAGATACCGAAGAGACATAATGCTGAAAGTCGAATTGCCAAATCCGAATTGGATAAAAAACGGCCATGTCTTGAACACATATAAACATCCAGTAATGTGGGGCGCGAGTAGATACGTTCAATCCAATAAATATTCACGCGATGTCTGCGAGGAAAGCAATCTGCGCAAAATGAAACTCCGGAATAGGTGAGTATAATAACCGTAGAAAGTAACACGATTTATGCTACGTAACACACCAAGCCATGAGTGATCACGCATTTTCTCATTCCACACTTTGTCTGTCAGCATGTTCGTAGTGTACGACGAGGACAACATGTGTGTCCAAAATTACACAAACAATAGCGAGCTCAGCAAACTGGAAGTAATACCGATCGACTCCAACATGGTAGTAATCAAGTGTGAATCGATGCCTAAAGATCTGCTATTAGATATGAGATACTTATATTTCAACGTAAAAGTCAAATGCTACACAACTCTCTGCAATAAATTTGTAACCAGCGAGACAGTAATCGACTGTGGAAACAACGCTGCCTCATGGTTATGCAGGTAAACATAACAACAAAATCTTTCGATGCTCCACATAGTATTTTCTATTGCTAATAACGAATTAGTCGGTTCTTCTGCAGAGGTCTAAACAACGGTAGATTACGCTTGGGATTTTGCTTTCCTGAGAAAAACAAGGAGGTAACATTTTGGGAAAACTATAAGAAACTTTCCGAGAGATATAGTGATGAACGAGATATTTTGGTAATTAATGCACCTTATTTGCGTTACAACTAATTATACGTTTAATTATAACAGTATTAGCGACTCATTGAGTCGGCTGAAACCCTTTCAGATCCGAGTCTCCCAGTCGTTATAAACAATGTAAATAAATAAAGCGTTGATATCTCGGCGACGCTTATATACGTGTATATCTGTATTGTGTATGAAAATATGTGTTATTAAATGTTAAATACTGATTGGCTAACTAAAAACATGTATATCTTATTCAGATGAACAGGTGGGAAGCGCCGATAATTAATATAATATCAGTGAAGTCAGCCGGCAGTGTGAAATGTGACTTGGATCGCGCCGAGATCGAGAAGAATTTCCATCCAGATATTATCATCACGTCTGATAAACCTTTCGAAGAACACAAGTGGAAGTGGATGAGGATTGGCAAGGCCGTTTTCAGAAATATTAGGCCTCTTCCAAAAAATGTCGATATGAACGATATGCCGGTAGAAATGAAATGGGAAATGTTACCAACTTATTGGGAAATATTTTCTCCGGGGAACGTAGAAGTAAACCTAAATATATTAGTTCACCATCCTTCAAAACGTGATATAGACTCGATGCTCGAGCAACTTCCGAACTTAAAGTAACCTTCACTGCGTGCGATCGATTTACAATACGAGATACTTCGTCTTATGTTTACGATTTAAATAAATTACCTTCCACTTTTAACTTCATACCCTCATCAATTCCTGTTATTTTTGCTTTTGCAATCAATGTCTTAGTTATTATTTTTAATGTATCTTTTTCGCCCCATCATACATACATACACACATACGCACGCGCGCGCGCGCGCACATTTCGAGAATTGCGATAAAATTGTACCAACGCATTGATTATCATGGTGATCACTATAATTAGATGATTACCACATCATATATATTAATTTCCGTAAGAATAATCTGTCTTTCGTTATTCTGTAAATTTTTCGAAATAAAATCTTGTTTAAAACGATTTAACAGTCAATACAATTCAGCCAATGCGCTAGTGAGAGTATTACTATTCAGAATCGTAAAAGTGAACGTTTTACATGATATCAGAGAGAATTCTAACTTCATACGAGTGAATATTTCAAGCGACAGAGCGAATTTATCCTGACAAAAGTAAAATACAATAAATTTACTCTATAACTTCAAATGAAAATATTCATCCAGAATGGAGAATTTATTCTATATCAGTGGAAAATCGTTCATATTCGAATGTATTAATTATTACATTAATTTGTAAGAATATACAACGGAAAAATTTAGAGAAAAATTACAATAACGTAACATTAATATATTATGATTGTGGTTATCGTAATTCATACGAAGTATTTTTAAATAAATGTTTATTTCTTTTACATATTTTGCTCTGTTGTATTCATTTCTCCGCCCAACACATTTATTCATTCTGAATCTCTCGTTTATTGAAGTACCTGTCCCTGTCGAGCCAACGGGGGACAGGTTTGTATTCTGCGCACAGGCAAATCGAAGTCGCTCTGATTACCTGCGCCGTAAAAAAAAAAGGTACCGGCCGCAAGATTTGTGCGATTTCGCTTTGGAAGTCGTAAGGAACATTCTCTCGTCCGCGTCGCTTCGCTCGCTCGCGTTAATTAATCGTCGGCCCGCGAGGACGCAAATTAACGCGTCGGTAATCGTACTTATGAAGATGAAGATCAGAGATCGGAGAATTATTGAATCGTGAGATGCGCCGATAAGAAGACAGATGTCCGATCGAGGGCGTAGGAGGCGAAATGAAAAAACGCCGAGTCCGAGTGTGTCGATATGATTTGTTGCTCGCTTCCCGCCCGACGAGCGCAGAACAAAGCCGAACCTACACTTTCTAGCCTCAAGTATAATACACGCGTGTACACGCCAGTGGATCGTTTATGCACGAGGTGGCCAAGAGAGGCTCGACCTGAGCGAGCAAGCTCGCTTAGTAATCGCCGAAGAACGCAGTTCGTCTCTAGCCGCCGGTTATCATCTATGATTCCTACGCCGTGTGTCTCGCACAAATAATAATCGCGAACAGATAATCGCGCGAAAAATGCATCAGCGAAGGCGAAAGGGGCAGAGCCGTCGATTGAGATACGACGTGCTGGATGAGAAGCCGTTTCCGACGCGGCTCTCTCGCGCATCGAATGATCGTTCCGCATTAATTACTCGCGCGGAATGCGAGTAATCGGTATCAATAACGATGATATCGAACCTGACGAGATCGAGCCATTCCGTCTCGGGGAGAGTTGACCACACAATCCCCCTTACAGCAGTATATGCTCGAAGAGTGCGGATATATTGGGCTCTCGTAGGATAAATGCGCGGGGACAGTTACGAGAGGCCGATACTTTTGTAGTTGCTACGTAATGTTATTCAACAATGTATCGAAAAGAAAAGCGAAAGAAATAATATTATGCCTGACTGTGGGGTTGTCGATTCGGATTTTTTTGTGTGAAATTCCCTATGAACTTATCGGACAAATCGATATTATACTCAAACTACGCCAAATTTAGAAATTGCAAATTAAGAATTAGAAATTGGTAACTTTTTTTTTCTCTCGTCTAAATTAGGAAATTCTTTGTCTCGACTTTCTCTTCGTTTCGCACCGCACGAAGCTGTTCCTCTTTTCTCTTTCGCGACGTCTAAGACATGATTAATTCTCACGAATGTCGAACTTTTCTCAGACACGCGTTATGAAATGAGCGTCGTGAAAAAAAAAAAAAAAAGAACATCGATCGCCAAAACTCGAAATACAAGGCCACTGTTTTTAGGAATAATCGATTATCATTGAGTAATTTTTGTTTTGTTTTATATTTAAGATTGGTTAAAATATTAAAACCCCTAGTAGTAAAATCTAGTTATCGAGCGAAAGAATCGATTTTGAAGATATCGAAAAGATAATCGATTTTCGGAAAATTTGAGAATCGAATAACGATTGATCGATCGATGATTGACCTATTTCTAACTCAATATATATTCAGCGTTCTTCTAGGAACATCTCCCAAGAAAATGTGTTATGCATGATTTCCAGGCTTAGGTTGCATCATATTCCACCTAACGAGCACCTAGCTGCCAAGAAACTTTTTTGTCATGGATCCATCCTGCCCATGTGGCGCTTCGATACACGGATCATATATCTTTCAAATGTACGAAATACAGCGCCACCAGTGACAAGTTGTGAGCTCTACAAGGACGACATATCCCCAGATAGGAACGTTACAGACATCGCTTTTTCCAATAACCGCAGAGAGTGTTCTAGGAAATTTTCTTCTAAAAACACGGGGTTAACAATAAAATAATAATAAAAGTAACTAGTTGGGACATCAAACAGAAAATCACCCACCAATAAAACTGGCTTATGGAAACCCCTATTCCGGACCAAAATCGAAGAAAAAAAAAGAAGAACTCGGCGTTCTTGCTATATCCACTAGTTGCAGTAAGAATTTAGCACGTGAAAATCGCACGTGTTAATAGTAACACTATTTCGAAGTATAGCTTCTGACTGTAACCACCTAATGAAAATCACGAGCGACGCTCCAATAGCTAGACCGAACATGTCTATTTATATGTCATCGCTGGTATAATTATGGATTGCATGTTTAAAAACCGACCAAAGACTCTTTTAAAAAAACCTTCTAACTAAATACTATAATCTTAATTAATTACTAAAATTGCTTAAGATTAATTAAAATGTACAAATGTACAAGATATATAATAGATATATGATAATTTATTCAGAAAGGAGGAGGTCGATAAGCCACAATTTCGCGGCTCATCTATTCTCGTTCTTCACAGTAATGTTAATATTTTATCATTGATCAAAAACAATCTGTACAATTTGTTACTGTTAACCTGTGTCATTTTTTATTCAACACGACGAATGGACAGACAGCCCCGCCGACCTACTTTGGCGACGCCTAAGCGTAGACGTTGTCCAGAGTACCGTAAACCTCAGCAAAACTGATAAAAGCAGGTTTTAGAGACGAGCCCATCCCCCCGTCGCACTTTGTAGTCGAGAACGTGATGTACAGTTACTTGGCCTGACTGTTCCTCTCGTCACGAATGCGCAAACCTAACCCACGCGAATCACACATCTATACACGCGAGCGTATGCGAGTGTGACCGGCGATTCGCACGCGCGCATCGGAAAGCCGACCGCGAATACGGCGGCGGATAGTAGAGTGCTACTTGTTCCTTAACAGAAACGAGGATCACGAGGTAAATGGCACATTCGCGCGGTTCGGATGCAGTTGTAGAGGTTAGGTTGGATCTCTCTCTCTCTCTCTCTCTCTCTCTCTCTCTCTCTCTCTCTCTCTCTCTCTCTCTCTCTCTCTCTCTCTCTCTCTCTCTCTCAAGTGATTCGTGAATCCGAACGTTGGAGTGAGTGAAAAAATCTTAACGGATTCTCGCCCGGAGACGTAAGCACATTTCATTAAATTTTTTCATCCTCAAAATATAATTCGCAGAAATATGCATTCTGTACTTGATATTACTTGACGGTTATAATTTTTTTACTAATATCATTGATACATTAATGTTATTAATATTTCGTCGCCGACGACTAAAAGTATTTTGATATTATTAATTTTAATATTTTTAATAACTACAAATGTAGAATAAATCCATTAATGTCTGTCACTTGTTCATTTATTTATTTATCTGCTAATTTAGTGTTAATAAATTAGCGTTAATAAATTAGATAGTGTTAATAAATTCCGACTAATGAGTTTCATATAAATGCATTCGCACTGGTAAATACAACTATAAAATTATGATTACTTCTGGATATTTGAGGTGCTCTTTACTAAACTCCTAATGAACATTTTAATATTCTCTGGTATGAGAGAGAGAGAGAGAGAGAGAGAGAGAGAGAGAGAGAGAGAGAGAGAGAAAGAGGGAGAGAAAATTTGAGATGAAGTTTTTGCCGGAGGACGAATGCACGTAGGAGCAGCCACTTGCAAAAATGCACTCGCAAAGCTACTCCTCTCTAATTACTCCTCTCTACGGCGATGCGCGATATAATCGGATGCAATCTTCGATAACTATCTCGTGCCGCTCGCACTTTCGTACGTGACTTCAATTTGTATCCTTAACAGTTATTGCAATTATAATCTGCGATCGATGTGCGATTATCTCGATGTCCTCGTGATCCTTACGGTTTTTTCGCGTGGCGCGTTCGCGCGTGCAATTTGCAACGCAACCTGTAAGCTTTTCTATCAAATCGTCGCGTCTTTCTCTCTTTCTCTCTCTCTCTCTCTCTCTCTCTCTCTCTGTCTGTCTATCTGTCTGTCTGTTTGTCTGTCTGTCTGTCTCAAAGCAACAACAAATGAAACCTCGCGTGCAAAAAGAACCAATTATTCATGACTTCGGCTTTTTCGCTGCGCGCGAGAGGAATCGTCTTCTCCCTCACTCCTCCCCCCTCCCACCTATCTTCTCAAGTTACATCGCGATATTTATGCGACGTGCCGTATATTTCGCGATCGATCGGCAGTCGCACGAGATGCACTTCGCGTTCTTCACTTTGTTGCGTCGCATCGCCGCGTTTCGTAGGCGAGGCGACCGCGACGACGACGACGACAACGACAACGACGAGGATGCGTAGCCGCGAGCACTTCCCGCGATGCACAATTACCACGACAGGACGCGGCTGCATGCGGCCGAAGCGTGGGCGTAGCGCAGCTTTCACCTGGCGTGGTCGTCGTCGTCGTCGTCGTTGTCGATGCGCCAGCCGAGATGGTGTCTGCCTTCACTCGCGGAAATTTGTCAACGTCCCTGACGCGCGCGAGCGGTATCCTCAATATCGCATTTAATCCCTTCGCCGCGGGCGATTAGAGTCGCAACTAGAATGCACCTGCACGCCGACGGCGAGAGCAAGAATAAAAGGACTGCCGCTTGACCCATCTCTCTCTCTCTCTCTCTCTCTCTCTCTCTCGCTCATTCGCTCTCTGTCTTTCTCTTTTACGAGCTCTCTCACTC